CCAAGGGTGAGGGGAAGAATCAAAGCAATGCGCAAGTGCGCGCCGACGATTGACTGAATGCATTCGGGGAACCACAGGAAGCAGACCGACTTACCGCATGCTTTTTGACTTACAACGCCTCACCGCCGCCTGGGCTCTGCCACCTTTGATGCCGCCCAGCGATGGTGGACGTCTGACCTTGTTCCTGTTCCAGCGACGACAATACCTTACCTACCTTACCCGGTAAGGTACAGATGCTGTCAATACCGCTAGGTTGTATGCACCTCAGGTTGGGGCATTGTATCTCTATCTGTACAACACCACAACAACAGCAAGCCACGACACCAACACCAATGCCAACAAATATCGGGAGCCAAGAGAAAGAAACATTGAAACGAGATGTGCCAGCAAATCTGCCGTGGCTGCATCCAGCACATCCTCATCAATCCCACCGCCCAGGTACTTCGCCTTCCCCAGTGTTGATACTGATGGTTCTCTGGACGCATCGCATCGCATTGCATCCGCGCCCATCCCGCTCCAGTGACAGACGAGAACGGCCACCGACGGAAAATCACCTAGGAACTTCCGTATTGAACTTTTACCCAAACTCTACTAATTTGCCCGTAGATGGCATGGAGACCAAAGAGAGACCAAAAAAGCAAACTAGGGCCAGCCAGAACGGCCATTTCCGGACCCCCGGGCTCGCTCACGGCCGTTGTCTCTTTTTTTCCCAGGTTCCTGTCCATCACTTTTCAACTTCCCGGCTGTCCATTTTCTTTTCGGCCGGCAACCTGCTGCTTGGGGGGCCCAAGCCACTGGCCCGGTTCGAGATCCCCGGTCTCAGAAATTCCATCAACTATCACCATCTGGCATCAAATCTTTTCTTTTCCGTCAATTTGGAAGAATTTTTCTTCTTTTCCTTGCACTGCTTGCAGTGCTTGCTAGGGGTCCTGGAAGTCTTGGGCTTCCTTCTCATTTCCGGCCCTGTTCCCTGTCGGCCTGTTGGGCTCGGTGTCTATTACCGCGACCGTTCGACCCCAGCTTTTCTGTCCACCCTTCCCGCTTGCCCAGCCTCTCCCGTCATGACCCTAGGCATCTCATCTTATTTTCAAGGGAGAATTCCCACGAGGCGTACGGATACAGCTGCAAGCCTGCAAGTCCCAAGTGCCCGGAGTCAGGTTGGAAGCCAGGGCCATGTTGACGAGGTTGGCCGCTGGCCGGGGCAGGGCGAGGCGAGGCGAGATGGAAAGAAGACATGGATCCTTCGTCATTTGCGGCGCTTCTTCTTTCATCCGCCAGGAGTCGGGGTACAATTTCCAGGAACACACGGAGGCGCTTTCCGTACATCATACAGAGTGTTGGCAGAGTTACAGATGTATCATCGTCTCATTCGGTAACACGCAAAGTGACAGTCGACACCCATCATCTCCGGCCGGCAACCCAGTTCCATCTACAGACTAATTACAGAATACTTACACCAAACTATCCATGGATACGAATTGTTGGTGTCTATACGGAGTACGGATACACCAAGTTACCAACAAGGTTGTGTGAGTTGGATGATTCAGAGCAATCACTCGCGGGAATGCGACTGGTTTAGATGGATGGCCCCCGGATGCGACGCCGCGATGCCCCGACGATGCGGTTGGTCGTCGTTTGGAATTCCGTTGGATGCCCGAATTTCCTCCATTCCTCTCCAAACAACCACCGACATCACCAACAAGCCCAAAGTCCCAACCCTGACCACCCCCATTCAAGTTCCAACAAGCGAGAAACCCCCCGAGCGAACGCGCAACACAATCCGCAACCGCAACCGCATCCGCATCCGTATCTCAACGAAATGCGACGACATGCACCAACTTACGAATACACCCGTTTGTGGATGGATGGATGGTGTGCCTTGCTCAGCTTTGCTTCTGACTGTGCTGCTGCTGACTAGTAGCTACCATGCTCCCCCAACATCCAATGTTTCCGAACCGCAGAACTGACACCTGAGACGTCCAACCTAATTCCTATTCCAGACGCAATACGACTCAAACAACGGGTATATTACACATGCACTCACACACACTAGGGAAGGCGGTGACAGGCGCATACCGATAATAAACCAGACCGCCCTGTCTTTACAGCACACCGAACAGGCTTACCGCCTAGTTGTCGCTGCTGCTACCTGCCTGTAAGATGCAACTTGCCTGCCTAGTTAGAAAGTAACACACCGGCGACTTGCGATTCGTGCCTTTTTTTGACTGCTCGTTACCGTCGCCAATTAATACGGCCGTGCTGACTTGGCTCTGGCTCAGCCCGCGGCGAATGCTTCCCCGGCCTGACTCAGACTGGGGGTGGCGCATTCGGGATTCCATTCCATTTACACTGACCTACGAATATGTAACGGTACTCACTCTAACTCTGTACACGGCGGTACCACCCACCTTTACCTCCCCGGATCGTCCAAGCTGTAGTTGCGGCGGCGGCGGCGGTGGTGGTTTGTGGAGGGTGTGTGTGTGACGCCAGCCTTGGGATGAGAACAGTCAGGTCAAATCAACCCCATTGTCAGTGACTCAGGGCCTGGGTTGTTGATTGATTGCTGACTTCACCTAGGAATAGGGTACGGATAGGCAAGGAAAAGCCGTTACGTTGCCCAGCGGAGGAACCTGTAGATTTGTGTTCCTCCGCTTCCACATCCCTCGCTCTTGTTGGTCGCACGAATGAAGAAACGGCGAGATCGGATTGGGTCTCGAACGCGAGTTTGCGACGGGCGGGAGAGGAGAGGGCCCCTCCCCCGCGAATAAGCCATCTCCATCACCGTTTGCGTCGTCAGCATTCAGCAACGACAGCGGATTTGTCGCGGCCCATTTTCGAATGAGATGGCAGAGACGGCAACTCGCGATATGACTGGTCCCCGCCATCAACGGCAGAGTCTCGTCCCGAATTCGGGGTTGTGCCACACCGCAGGGCATCCCGTTTCTAGACCTGCCATTTGTACCCTTACCTTGACTTTTGTAAAAGGGCGGCGGGAATGTATCCGCAGGCACGCAAGGGGGGGGAGTGAGAGCAATCTTCAACCACCAGCTGGGCAAGCATTTCCAGATATCCGAGCATACAGCGAGCTAATACGCAGGGGAAACCCCCTTTGGCAAGAGGAGAAGCTGAAGGCGGTGATGGCCCGTGGACCTATCGAGACTGGCTGACAACTTAATTCCAAGACAGACATGATAGACATCGATCGTTCTGGACTCGGTCGCGGCAGGCAACATTCTTAGAGTTTTTCATGTTCCCTGCCATCAACTTGCCCTGATTTTTCTATTTCGTCCAGTGTCTGCAATGACTCTAACGTATGTATTTGTGAAACAAGCTCGACGACACCAAATGCCACCGCAGCAAGCAGTAGCAGCAAGCAGCACATGCTTGACGGGCGAGCGGCGGGCGCGGCTGCAATCGAGTCGCATCCGGTCCGTGCCAGCTACGGGACTTACTCGACGATCAACACCAAGCGGTAGGTAGCCGAGGCGGTAGGTACACCAATAGGTCCAAGGGAAGAAGCAAAAAAGATCAGACTGAAACGGGATTCAACCCACGTACGGTTATGTTCTCCTAGGCTCTTTGGGTAGCTACAGACGGTGTGGTTGTCGACACCGACGCCACACCGAGCAAAGCACCGCAAATCGCTTCCGCCTGCCACTTTTCTCTTTATCTCGCTCCTTAAGGACCCTTTCACAAGCTTTACGCTCTAGGCAGAGGGAAGAAGCCGAATAGGACCCCGAAAAAGGAAGCCATCACAAGCGTCTCCGTCCCGCAAGGCCCGGCGTTGCATCTATTTGCAACAAGTGCACCGAGCACACCACGCACCGAACAGCCACCGCGCAATCGTCGACCTACCCAAAACCGCAACGCCGAACCCCAGACCGCGCGACGACACGACGCCAACGCCATGCTATCTATCTATCCGGAGTGGTGTCGCGATTCATGGTGGTAGCGTTCACCCCCTGGGCCAAACGCGCACCGAGCGACCGGAAGGATGCCCGCGGGGCTAGGGGCCCCTAGGGGAAGGACCGGGTTGTAGAGACTAGAGAACCAGGAATTGAGATTGTCCGCCCTGGATGACCTTCTAGAAAGCCGCTAGACGGATTTTCCAGTCCTTAGTCTACTTCTTCTTCCCCTCCCCTGCGACCGCGGAGGGGGGTGGGTGTGTGGATGTTTGGGTTTCCTCATCCCGGTTCATCACCCCCGTCCCCCGAAATTGAACCGGCTGCGGGTTGTGGGACCCGAAAGAGAAGAGCAACAGCGTGGTTGTGTGGTTTTGCATGGGTGCGGGCTGCAGCGCGGCAGGGGGTCCTGTTCCGGTCTAGCGGGTGATTGCGCGCTCTCTCTCCCTGACGTGCTGCTGCTTTGAGCGTTTGGGGGTTTCTGTTTTCTTTTGCCCTGGGACTTTCCGGCTTTTTGCTCGGTTGCTGCCGGATTAGTCTACCGGGTGGACGGAGGGAGGGAGAGAGGAACAACGGAAATGGGTTATGCAGTGGAATGCATAATCTCCCTCCCCCCCCTGACTTATGCTCCCGGAAACGGTGGCCGCGAAACGGTCGGACGGTTTTGGGTTGTGGGACTGCTCGCCCCGAGGCAGATACACCCATTGAAAGATAACCCATCGATCGGGGAGGTTTGGAAGATGGGATCTGCGTTCGGCGTTGAAGAGCCGTTGAGCCTTATTGCGGTTACATCTCATGGGAGATGGATATGGAGATGCCGCAACCGCCGCCGAGAGATGGGGGCGGGTACTGGGCAGCTGACAGAAGCGTTTGTTCATGTCTTGTTCATCGCGTGTGGAATTTGGTGGTCTTACATCAGCCATTCTTTTGCTTTGAGGCGGGGCCTAGGGAGCTTCCCCGGTCCCGTCGTACAGATGGTCAGGTCGTGGGGGATCGTCGGGGTGAGCTTGACTGACTGACTGACAGCCTGATAGAGAGCAGAGCCGCTTCTAAGGGCAGCTTACAAATGGTAATGCTGAGTCGACTCCGCAAGGCTTGGAACCGTTGGGCTGCTGGGAGATGTAGCTTTACCTCGAGGGTGGAGGTCACGTATCAGTGTTGTTGTAGGTGGAGCTGTGGTGAGATTGAATGTCTGGCTGTAGGGGTATCACTTTCATGCAAGGTGCCATGTTGTGTTACTTGGTATTCAACACAAACGAGACTTTGCGGGGTTGAAGCGGTCTTCCGCATAGGATCTCCTGTGCTATACGACGGTGTTTGGGTCACATATCGTAAAGGATGAGATTCAAGATCTCTGGATAGACAGCCCTACTAGACGTGAAGACACAAACCTCTCCCAAAACATCGAAACACTCGATCATCGATCATGACCTTGCCATTCGAAACAGCAGAAACATTCCGCCGCAACAAGACGCGCTACTGTCGCCATATTGACACCAAGCAATGGTCCCTCCTCTCGACATTCATCCTGCCCGACGCCGAGATCGAGTTCCTCAACGCCGAGGGCCGGACCTATGTCGACGAGAACGGGGTGGAGCAGAAGTGGTATTCCCGAGCCGGCTTCGTAGCGTGTTTTGAGAAGGCGTTTGAGGGGATGCAGACTTTGCATGTTGTTGATCCGGGTGATTTTGAGGTTGTTGAGGGGAATGGGGCCGGAGACGGAGATCGGAGTGGGGTCCGGAGTGGGAGTGGGAGTGGGAGCAGGAGTAAAAATGAGGCCAGGGCCGTCTTTGGGCTTGTGTATCATGTTGGCGATGCCGGATCTGAGAAGGGTGTTCATTTGACTGGCGGCAGGCATTATCAAGAGACTTGGAAGATGGTCAAGGATGAGTAAGGGGAGGGGTGGTGGTTTCTTGCCAAGATGAGGTTGCACAGGCTGTTTTCGAAGGTTGCCAATCTCTGAGAGGCATCGTGATGGTAAGAGAGGTGTCTGGGTTGAGATGCTGTCGGTTATGGTTGTGGTTGAGGGTTCTGGTGTTGTCCTGGGCCGGATGCGGCTCAAGAAAGTGGTTCACCAGATAGGAGACAAAATATCAGATGCGGCCAAGCCAAACATATCTCACTTGCGATATCTCGATCTATTGAGATTGAGATGTTCGATATGCGTTGAGCAAGTTGCAAGCCATGTTGACCGCAATAGGGGTGTAACGGACTCTGTCCTTCTCACGATCTCACGACCGATGTGGTAAGACAGCTTCGATGCTTCACGACAACTCTGTTTTGGGCATCATGAGTACAGTCGTGGACATCCAAGACTTTGGAGACCTGGGTTTGAGAGGCCGCGGTGTCATCTGCCGAGCTTTTCGGACTATGCGGCATTAACTACGTTGCCAATTCTTGTTCTCCTGGAAAGATGTAAGCTGGAAAGGCACAGGCACAACGTGAGTGCTGGTCCCGATGTAAGTGAGTAGACTAGATACCGTGGACCTTCATCAAGAACCCGCCTCGACATGTGTGATTACCAAGAAGGGAGGAGTTGTATTCACTGCCAAGATCTCGTCGTAGAACTCCTGGCATTCATGTTTCCACCAAGATCATGCAAATATAATACCGTCACTATCGTGCAATGCCCCGTTAACCAGTGATATTCCTGCTTGGCACGTCTTGAACAAGTGCTGACGCCCCTCATATAATCCTGGTAAGTCGATGGGTCAAGTGCTGTAAGGCTGCGAGGACTGCAGGAAACCCCTTGTCTTCAACGGTCTCGATGCTACCATAATTCTTCAAGAGGTAACTCGAGCGTGGGAAGTATCTGATATCAACTCCCATCCTGGAGTAAAATCCAATGATCGACAGCGTCCCCGCAGAACCCCTCTTCTGCTTGTGTCCTAGTGATGAGGCATAGCCTGATATATAGATATGAACATTGTCAGGATACAACAGATGAAGATTGTGATCAGTCTATTAACTCATTCCTGGCCAGTCTTGCAATCAAGTTATCTCACAAATCGTACCTGAACCGAGAAACAACAGCTGCCAAAATGCCTATATCTCAAGAAACAGCAGAGATTATCCGTCGCAAAAAGGCACAATACTGCCGTTTCGCCGACACCTGCCAGTGGCACCACTTCGAAAACATCATGCTGCCTTCTCTCACGTTTGAAGCCCTCGATCTGGACGGCAGCATTCTGACTCTGAACGGAGTCAAGTATCGCTGGGAGTCGCGTGAGGCATGGGTCGCCCACTTCAGCGAGGCCTTCAAGGTCATGCAGACGATTCACCTGACGGACGCCGGCGACCTGGAGCAGGTTTCCGAGGACGAGGTGAAGGCTGTGTTTGGGGTTATCTACCATGGAGGGACGAGGGGGTCGGAGTCCGGGCTGCACTCTACTGGTGCTGGGCATTACCATGAGATATGGAGAAAGATTGATGGGGACTGGTTTATGGAGAGTTGTTCTATGAAGAGGTTGTATTCCAAGGTGATGCAGATCTGAGTTATCAGAGTTGATGGAGCGCTAGAGTCTGGAACCTGTGTTTGTAGCCTCAAGGTCCTCATTGTTTATTTAGCAAAGCTGAGATCGCGTATCGAAGTTGGAGAAGAGGATGAGGTGTTTATTTGTTGGACACAATCATCATTGATCCGTAGTTCGTCATGGTTTGAAATAATTTTGACAAAGTTCCTGTCATGTCATACCAAATGAGATGAATATTCCTAACGCTTCTTCGAAAAGGTCCAGAGAAAATCAAAGACGTTGAGTTGCTTGACTGGTAGGCTCAAGTGGCCTATTGGATATTTTAGTTGACTCTTTTACTTCCAAATCCCTCCAAATGCTCTTCTACCTTCAAGTTGAACGGCATGCCTCCAAGCTCGCGTTGAGAGCTGGGGCGGAATGGATGAATACAAATAACGGATGTTGCCGAAATGGAGTTTTCGGCCAGCAGCAACTAGACTTTCGCCTTCAACTCAATGGAATGCCACGACATAAGAGGCCGTGGTTCTAACTAAGGTATCGATGGTGTTGCTTTTTGTAATTACCATTGGATCTATATGGCACATCTTCCCGAGCTTGTGTCTATGCTTCTGTGTGTTCAGCATCAACGCCCCTATACTCAAAGAACTTATTCCACTCCGGATCCTCGATCAGTGTCTGAGCCAGTTCCTTCTCATACATGATGGCAATTTCTGGACCCTCATCAGACTCAGGTGAAGGGTCTCGCGGCGGATAGACAAGGATGCCGCCCTCGGAAATACGACCCATCAAGTATCGATAAGTCGCAGGCTTCCCGAAGCCAAAGTCGGCAGACGGGATGTTGGCGTCACGGTGATCGACCACAATAGTCGACATAGGCGGGTGCGAGTCGATTCTCGAGTTGAGACTTGACTTCACGCGGATCGTCGCCACCATCTTGAGCGTTTCATCGAGACTTTCTTGGGTCACGCTGTCCGTCAACTGACGGACGTAGCGTGCTACCCGCCAGAACGGCCAATCTAAGATGAGGTCTGACACCGCGGGTTGCTCGACAGGTGCGGTGGTAGACATGGCTACGTACATGACGTTCTGTTGAGTGCGTGCGGGTACCTTTGGGCTGTGCAGACGTCGACGCATATCGATGGTCTCGCACCAGAAGAGCTTTGCGTCTGGAGCAGTCCTGAACACTGGAGCTCGAAGGCGTGTTAGGTGTCGCCACATGAAGGCGGAAAAGGCGTCGTACGTCGAGATCCATGTCCCATCTTCGGGTTTTGCGAGCTCTTTCAGCTGAGCGGCTTTACTCTTGGGCAGGTGGAAGAGGAGGCAGATACCGACTTTGTGGTCAGGATGCCTATCGGGTGGCGGCGGCCCATCTACCTTCTCATTCTCCGGAGGCTCGGGCTTGAGAAAGCGGGAGACATCATTGCAGGCCGGATCCCACGAAGGATAGGCCGTACCATTGCTAAACGCGTAACAGTTCTCAGCAAGCTGGTGGATGAATCCAGCCCAAGCCATAACGTCTTGGGAGTAGTGATGGTGGTGTGTGCTGAAGACGAGCCCGCCCCGGACGAAGTTCGCCTTGAAGCCAGCAGTGACAGGACTCTGCTCCGGAGTAGCCTCGGGCCGCTCGCCATAGGTCATCGGTGACACAGCCCATAGCCTGAGGTCTCCAAGAGCTACGGCGCTGAAGTTGGCCTTCTCGATATCGTCAAAAGATGGATACTTGTCGGCATCCTCTGGGGCGTCGAGCCATTGGACGACGAAGCGGACGGTCGATTCTCTTCTCTTGGTAAAGGAATAATCGCCCCACGGGTCTTTCTCAATTTTTCCGTTCAGCTGGCGGACCTGAGCAAGCGTCCTCTCAAGACCTGCTTTGAGAACTTCGACAACTCTTGGCTTCGCGGCATCATCTAAGCGGAAGAATACGGCGTAGTGGTTGTATGTCTGACAAGTCAAGTAATCTAGGGTGGAAACTCTGAATCTTTCCACCTCCACGTCGTCCTCCCACCCATAAGGGTGGAGATCGTAGACTTCCTCTTTTGGCATGATATTGGACAAGGCTATCGAAGTGATCCAAAGATAGTTGTAGGTTCCAAGTCCCGAGTATCGTAAGTTCGAAGTGGACAGAGGAGCAGTTGAAGGACCGTTGTTCTGTGCCGCACTAGATTGGAATGCGCCCGTAGCGGTAGAGTCTACTTTGCCATTGCACCATATCCAGGCCCCTCAAAACATCTTTCGATGATTTACCTCTGATTGGAGGATACAACGAGCAGTATTCCCGATTTGGTGGGTTAAGTTGTTAACCAACAGTTCGCCAAGGACTCTGTCATGTTGGTTGACATCTGAAGAACCCCATCTCCACAGCTAACCTTACCCGCCTGCCAACCCCGCTCATGCAGCCTGCTTCAACTATGGCAAGTGGGTGACTCAATAGTTTGCCGCCTCATATGAAGCGCCTGAACGAGAGATAGGGAGGTTTAGGTAATGAGCGGAAACAGTCGAAACTTGAGACGTCGACGTTATCAAGCACTTTACTTCATAGGGAACGGGTATGAACCAGCTGTCGTGTCGTCGAAGCAATATCTCCCAGATGGAACATCCGACGAAGAGCGAAGAGTTTTCCTGATTCTCACTTACGATAGATATGTGGTTAATTATCTGTTCATAAATTATCCAAGATTTCTACCCAAATCAGGGTGCAAATTATGTATGACGTCTTTGAGTCCAGATCGAATCTCATTGCAACAAAGCTTTGACCTGGAACCATAACGGCGCTGGAAAGTTGACAGAGTCTTTGACACATGATATTATCCCTCCCCCATATCTAGGTGTTTACGATGTCTCGGCTCAATTGTGAAAGTAACTGACTAAATGCCATAGAAGCCTCTGCTTTGTGAGAGCTTGCTACCTTCCTGGACAATTTGCCTGTCTCATCATAAAGATGCTCATCGTCCCAGTACATGCTTGTTGCTCAGTATGAAAGACCGGGACCACCGTCGACCGCCTCACTGCCTAGTCAACCCATACTTCCTTCCTTCTGTTTCTTGACTTCCTCTCTTTCCGTTTCGTTTCGTTCGGTCTCCTTACTTAAGAATATCCACCGCGCGCGTGCAAGACTCAACACTTCTTCATCCACAACAACCACGCGTCCGCCAGCACAGCTCCCTTGCGCAAAAACCAAGAGCCCTCGACACGAAGAAATCGTAAGACATCCTCGAACTCCTCTTCTTTAATGACAGAAATATTAACAAGAATATCTAGCTCATCAAGCTCAGTCGAACGTCAAAAAATACATCTCATCCTAAGCACTTGCCATAGTACGTATGCATCGACCACTCGCCCCTTCCAGCTGCGAGATAACGAGACTAACCCATATTTTAGATAGCATTTAGCCATGACTGATCAGAACCTTCCCGAGATGTCGCCTTCCGACGTGAACTTCATGTGTCACGTCTTCGTGCACATGACCGAAAAGCCCGTCATTGACTGGGACAGCTTCGCGGAGGCCGCTGGCTTCAAGAGTGCAGGTGTCGCTCGGGTACGTTACTGTTGACAAATTTTCTGATGCGGTCAACATGTGCTAATACTTTGGACTTCAGACCCGCTGGGGACAGATCAAGCGCAAATTTGCCCTGGTTGACCAGGCCACCCCCAAGAAGAAGACCGCCCAGGCTTCTGTCAGCACTCCCGCTTCTGACTCCAAGGTCAAGAAGCCTACTGGACGCGTTGGCACCAAGGGAAAGAAGGGCAAGAAGGCTGTGAAGGACGAGCAGGAAGAGGATGAGGTCGATGAAGACAAGGCTGTTATCAAGACCGAGGGCTTCAATGTCAAGGAAGAGTTCCTCGACATCTAAGAAGACTCCTTGACTGCCAACCTTTGCCGATGTTGAGTGGATGGTCCGAAACGGGCACATGGAGATAGCTCTTAGGCTTGGACCATACAATATATCTTGGGCGCCAAAATAGTTTGGTGATAGCCGGCTGAGAAAGCAATACGATTTCACTTCACAACTTTAGGTGGGATAAGGCAGTCAGCATTGTGACTACCAGGGTATTACCAAGTCCATATGTCTCTCAGTGGTGTTAGTCAATGTGTGAGCCCTGACTTCACGCCATGCCTGATACTCAGGTTGAGCAGATCTGCAATACATAGAAGTCACTACCCACCATTACCGAGTCTCATGCCAGCCTCTTCAAGCCTCGATACCCTAATGACGAAAATTGAGGTTCATCAAACAACGTCGGAGCCGTTGCATTGTGGCTCTACAGTGTTCTCTTTCTCTCCATCACAAATGTCACTTTTCTTCTCCCCTCGTCTATCCTTTTCTTTGCTCTTCATGTGTCCCCTCCTTTCCATTATTCTCCATCTTTCCACGCTTCCTAGAACTTTCAGTATCGCCAAACTCCCTTCTGTAGCCTCACCCTTCGGAACTTTGACTGCTCTACTCCGTCCCGGATCGAGCGCCTGGCCTCAGGTAGCCAAGCACCCAGTCTCACAAGGCGAGTACTCTGAGTGAAGGCACCTTCTCGACTGATGGGCCGGTGCCTATGGGGGTTAAAACCCCTTCGACTGAAGCTGAAGCCAAAAAAAACTATTTCTTCCTTCTATACACATTCTTCTCAGGTCACCCAAAACTCAGCAGAAACATTGGTAACCTGCCCAACCAGACATTGCTCACACATCGATATCTATATATCATTCAGAAGCAATCGTTAGTTTTACTTTTCAATGTCTCATCTCATTTTGAGACTGAAAAGTTTACTGACTTGAGCTAGCATCATGCCTCCCAAGAAGTCCACCGCTGCCGAGGGCGAGAACGCTGTCCCCTCCCTCACGGACGCCGAGACCAAGTTCGTCAAGGCTGTTTTTGACAGCATGAACACCCGCCCCGACATCGATTATGACAACGTCGCTGGCATTATGGGCCTGGCCAATGGCAAGAGCGCTAGAGATCGCCTTCGTACGATCTCCAAGAAGCATGGCTGGTCCGCCACCGATGGCACCAGTGCTGTCAGCCCTGCCAAGAAGCCTGCCGGAGTCAAGAAGACGCCCATCAAGAAGAAGGGCATCGCGCAGCGCAAGAAGAAGGTTAGTCGCATCCCATATCTGCAATAATATCCCTGGAATATTTTCTTCATTATGGATGCTAACAAGTCGATAGAGCAAGAAGAATGAGTCTTCGGGCTCTGAAATCGATGAGGATATCTCGGGCAAGCTCGAGTCTGACACTGATGGCGAAGCCGCTGCCAAGGCGGAGCTCAACAACCCCGACAGCGACTCCGACTGAGCGTCCCCGCAACAATTGGTCTTCGTCGTTGAGTGCTCAGCCATGGTATATGAAGCTGGCGAATTCTCTGCATATGGTCTTGGAATGAACAGGACTTGGATTGGGATTGGGTCATAGCAGATTATGCTCAGGTAGTTTGAGCAACTCAATTCCCAGTCATCCCATAAGCCGTGCCTGTGTTGAATTCATAAAGTACACGTGAAACCTATTTAGCTTCCAAGTTTTGCTTTTCCAGAGCTCAAGCTACTCTTTCTGACTGCTGTCATTGTCTTTCCTTACTTAACTTGAAGGAAAGGATGCCAAGCAGAACCTAGTCCTAACAGCTGCCCCTCTGAACCCCCCCCCCCCCCCAGGTCTGGACTGTTCTTTCCTGTTCTTCTTGTAGCTTTAGCCTTGTTGTTTAATCTTCGTCTAATCATTGTGCTGTTGTCTGGTCTTCTTTTCGTCCAAATTGCTCTTGCCATTTGTTCAAACTCCTTTGACCAACTGCCTTGTCTCTTATCACCTTTTGAACCGCAAAGTCATGCCTCTTGTTGGATTAGGTAGCTCTCGATGTTCCGTCTGGTCATTATGATTCTGTCCAGTCCTCTTTTCGTCTCAAGTGCTCCCCCCATTATTGCTTAAACTCTTCAACCACCTGCCTGGTCTGCTTCATTCATGTTTTAAACTACCTGTGACTGCCTCTTGTCACATAGATCATTCTCGTCTTATCTTGTAGTATTCAAGCTTGAGTCCAGATTGCTCCCGCCTTTAGAGTAAAGTTCCTTCAGCTAGCTGACTGATGTGTTCACAGCTTGAAATACTTGTTCCTGCATGTTATTAGGACACTTCTTGCCTCATCGCCTGATCATTGTGCTTTCGTCCAGAATGCTCTCACATTCCGTCCATCTTTGATTCAGATAGTTCCCGCCGTATGTATAAAACCCTTCAACCACCTGCCTGACCTATCCATGTTTTGTATCACCTGCACCTGTCTCATGCCCTGGTAGCTCTCGTTCATTCGAGTTTATCAAGAGCTAAGCTTGCCTATTTGAGGCAGCCTCTCACCAGAACTTCTCACAAACCCAAGTCTTCTTCACAACAACTCCCAAACCTTCCAGTACTCAGACCTTGCTCTCAGCCTTCATTTTCAAATAACACTACTCATACTCAACTTCCTCCAGCACTATTACCCACACCCAACTCCGTCTACTCTACTCATCATGGCTTCTGTCGGAACCGATGTTGAGGGCCAGGTGACCTTTCTGGTTCACTGCATCAAGCATTCCTCTGGTGGAAAGGTAAGTGCCGCACCAATCACTTCTGTGTCGAGACGCAAAGTATCTGACAAAAACAGGTCGACTTTCAGTCAGTTGCTAATGATTGCAACATCGCGTCCAAGGCCGCCGCGTGAGTCATTACTCCAACTATACTCCTTCCCATCGAGTTTTCGGCATGCATGAACAAGCTAACGTGGCGTGCCTTCCAGTGCCAAGCGATTCGAGCGCATTCTCAAGCCTTACGGAATGAAGACCAGCGACTTGTCCAAGGGTGGCCCCATTGGCAGTGCTGCCTCTCCTGGTGGCGCCAGTGCCAGCCCCAAGACCCCGGGCAAGGCCACACCTAAGGCCAAGGGCAAGCGCGCCCCCACTGAGACTCCTCCCAAGGAGACCAAGCGCCTCAAGCTGGCTAACCACCCGGCTGTCTCGTCCTACAATGACGAGGACGATGCGGAGGATGCGCCTCAGTTCAAGGTCAAGGAGGACCCTGAGGCCTCTGGCACTGACTCGACCAACGGTTCGTACAGCGATATCCCCCGAGGCCGCGATGACGATGACGACGACTTGCAACTTCTCTACGTTGTGAAGAAGACGAGCGACTGCCCGATCCACGATTGCGGCGGATCCCGAAGTCCTCCTTCTGCGTCCGTTTCGAGCGATACTAATACCGAGGGTTCAATGCAGATGATGTCAAGGCCGACGAGCATGCCGAGATTTAGCGACATGCCAGCTTGCTATCATGGCTGGGGGTTCCTGCCGGAAATGCCAGTCTACGCATGGCCAGATACGTGCGCGATACATGGGGAGCTAGAAGCAGCACAGTTGGTCGGGATATGTGAGTAGTTCCCGCGCAGATCTTCAAAGACCCTGCTAACAAATTTCTCATAGGACCGGGGATTAGCTCTCTATGGGGACGATATAGCCGTCATGGCTGACCAGATTGCTGGCTGGGATGGCTCGTACATGGAAATAGAGATGATTGATGGTCAATTAGAGACCCCAAACTAGTACGAGTGACTTTCACTTCTTTCGCAACGCAATGATCAACATGCAGGCCTTGTGAGACCCGAAAACCTACCTAATCGTGCGCGCCGTTGAAGGGTCCGCCATGGTGCTGCCTGATTAGGCAAGTGGGACTGTCTCGGCAACGGTCGGCAGGGGTCATCCCACTTCTTCCGGAGCATTTGGGGCTCAATTTCGACGACACCCTTAATCCATGTGTGAAGACAGACTCATTGTAACTTTTCCTGCATTCCAGATTCATGACAACTAATGTCTGTCGTACCTTGGGCTTTGAATAAGCTGCATCAGTGATATCTTGAGTCTGTCATGAGGTACACAATGCTACCCGATTTCCTTCATCGCATGCCTTGTTTGCCGTCCTAGGTCCTCCGACCTTCAGGCGGTGCTGCTTTTACGGGCACAACGTCAATCTTGCAAGTAAGCGTATGGAAAACCCCAGTCAATATGATTAAGGAACTCCCATTCCTTCAAGCCTGTACATCCCCCATCGCCCCGGTGATTTCAGTCATCCTTAGGGCGTTTAGTCCCTCCCACTCAGACACACCTGGCGGACCTTCACAAAGTCTGCATCCTAGGACTGGGAGCACAAGGGACACTCACACTGCCAATTGAATATCCCAGACGCAAAATTAAGTCGTGGCATGATAGTTCGCTAAGGTAATGAGAGTCAAGCATGTTGTCTCCCAGCATCTTCGGACAGTCGGACGCACTCGTGAAGATATCGTAGACAGGCAAGCATACATGAGGCAGGTACACTCCACCCTGCACCTCCCTCCTTCCTTCCCAATTCCATACCTAGAAAATTTGTCCTCTCGAAAAAACTCAAGGCACACCGGAGCACCTCATGCTCGCTTGCACCCGTGGACGTTCTGCCTGACCTCTCCGTCCAGAGGTCGCGCAGCCAACCAGAGTGCTCAACCTGCACTTCACCTTCTCATCGCACCTTCCTCCCATCTTCCTCCCACCTCACCTCCTTCCCTCACCTCACCAAGCAGCAAACATTTTCTCAGCCACTTGAGCCGAGAGCACACAAAGTCGTGCCCCCAAAAATTCCGGCTTCCCTTTGAGTAGGCCATACACGCAATTCTGATTTCTCCCCCCTCCCACAAACCACGCACCGAAGTTGTTTTTTCTTCCCTTCTTCATTGCGGCATCCGTCCCCTAAACCAGACGAGCGATTGACTAAAGCAATTTTCGTTCAATCCACCAAACGACAAGCCAAGCATCTCGCTGTCATCAGAGACGAAGTATATCTTCCCTTCTAGATCTCCAGCTTCTGGACCAATTGGTATGTATTTTGTCGCGCGCGGCCTCTTTCGCCTCTTTTTTTGTCTCCCACTTCAGGTCGTCGAATTTGGACAAATAACTGATCACCCTAGCAGACGGAGTCAATCAAATCTTCCTCCTCCACCGCGCGATAGCAACTGCGACATCAATTCATCGCGACGCAATGTCTGCCTCTCCGCTCTCACCCGGTGCCGACATGGACAATCATTGGGAGCTCTCGTCTGGCGCCTCTTCGCCCCGATCCGATACTTCGACCAACACCAACAGCTTGTTCTCGTTGCCTGATTCGCCTGCCGATACAGAGATTTCTTTCCCTGGCCTTGGCCCCAATGACCCCAAGGACACTGTTACTCAGGCTCACCCCAGAATTGCTGTGATGCCAAGTTTCGCGAACCACATCCTTGTGGGAAACACGGCATACGCACCAGGCCAAATTCGAGGTATGGCTCAGACGATATCTGCAGCACGCAAGACAGGAGAGTTTCCCGCCACCACAGCAGCCTTTGAGGATGCCCAATCCACGGTCGAAGACTACCAACATCTTCAGAGTCTTCGAGATGCAAGAGGCGACCCGGCTATCCACCCCCCACCTCAGCAGTACAACGTCATCAAGGTCGACATCGCCCGCCGCATCAAGGCTCGCGATGAGGCACATGGAGCCCCAGCCAACTTTCAAGAGGTGGATCACCGAGTTCAAAACTGGATGAGCTCAATCAACAAGGAAGCACGCATGCTGGAGATTACACAGGCGGCACTTCATCGCAAGGGCATCAATAATCCCACACAAGACGACTTGGACGCCATCGCCGAGGAGTTCATGCAGATTGCGGAGCGAACTCTTCTTGACGTCGCCAACCCTCTGCGCATGAATGCCACTCGCATGGAGGGTAACATGAGTCGTTTCGATAGCCAGCTCAGCGGCTTCGATGGGGCAATGACCGCTCAGCTGAACAACCTTGCATCGGTCATGTCGACCCTACAATCAACCATGGGCAATGCAGTCGGTACATCAACAGAGGCTATGAGTGGCGCCATGAACGCTCAAATCAGTACTCTCAACACTGTTCTGGCATCACAGGGCAGTACTTTCAACGGCTCCCTCAGCATGCTCAACACAGCTCTGGGAACAGTTCAAGCCGACTTGAGTCAGCTTGCCACCAACCTACCAGCGATCATTGCAACTTCAGTTCAGGCTGCAATCAAGGAGCAACTGTCTCCTATTCCCCATCGACATTTCTCCACCACGCAACACCAATTTAGCTACGATCAACCACCCGGGTACGCTACAGCTACACTGGTACAACAATACAATGCGACTGGTGGAGAGCTTCACACCGGCAGCGCACAAGACGTCGCTTCTGCGGTCCAAGTATCAGGACAACAATATGAGCAGGCCTTGCCTATGAGCATGCAGCCCACGAAGTCCAGATTCAAGAGATTATTCCGGGTTATTACTGGAAGAGGTCAATCGAAGAAGGCGACGGGTTTCAAGAATTGAAGCTTATGATGAGGCTTCAACATTCAGCTGTCCGACTTTGTGGCCAGCACTCCCCCCCTCTGAGACGTACACAACACATCCGATCACCAAGCTTTGGAAAGATGGAAGGCATGATGGGAGGAAATTGGTTTTGTAGATCACCGGTAGATTGACCCGTACGTACCACGAGATTAATAGTTCGTTTCACATTGAGTACTTTGTGCCATCGTGAGATCAACACTCTTTTGTGGTTGTCTTCTTATTTCTCAAGTCTATCGACATTATTCAGATGCAGTCGTCTTGCCGCGAGTCGCTGCGCTCACCCAAGTCAACTGGGAGCCTCAAGGTAGATGTCTATGTGCTCACCCGCCAGTGTAGCAATCATATTTTGTTCGTTCCGTTGGAAGAATATGGTGTCTATCACCGTAAGATTCGTGGGCACTAACGAAGATACCACAATCATCCCTTTAAGACGCCGGGGGCCTAAAAATACTGGTGCTACCTTTTACCGCAGAAAGACCATCAGAATCGGGACCGTCACCCGGCAACGCCTGAGGGCATTCCCACATCTTTAGCAACTGCCTAGCCTCCAGGTTGCCTGGCAGGTCATGACCGCGTCTCCCACACGCGTCCGCTACCCTCACCTTCGGCAACCCAAATAATCCCAACGCGTCGTCTTCTTCTGCTCGAGGCAGACGCCTTAGTACCTTACCAGACCAGCCGCCTCAAGTGGGGTCAATACCGACCTGCCCACTCACGGGCCCTAACCGCCCTCCTCCGTCAATAACCTCGCAACCTTCACCTGCTTTCAACCTTACTCTTCTTTCTTGCACTCACACCCATGCAAAGTCGCGCCTATCTTGACTCTTCCCTCCTGAGATATTCCGCGCCTCTCTGACGTTGTCTACCACCAACCACCACCTACTTAAGCAAAATCGCGACAAGAGCTCGTCGTCACCTCATTAATACAAGCGGACATTTCCGGTACAGAGACCTTACCTACCTTGATAATTCAATCAATCACCTCATTGAGATCACAGTGGTAAGTCTTTGATCATCTCTCCTTGAGCCTGTTCATACTTCACGTTGCTACTATTCCTCACCTCTGTTGTACAAAGAATGCCTTCCCTTTAAAGCATCCCCTCCTCGCTTGTTTTCTGCATCTCCTTTTCGTCTTAACTATCACTTCATTGTGTGTTTGTTTTTACTGGTGGCTTGTCTCTTTGCCTGTAAGCTGGCATTCAATCCAATACTGTGCATCGCATCTCAGTGAATGTGATTCTTACTGACAGTATTACTTTCAGCCTCAAAGCAGACAAAGGGCAAGCTTCCTGAAGTCCCAAAGGTGAAGCAGGACGCCAAAGTCCGTAAGAACACAACGGCGAGGAAGAAAACTTCTGCCAAGGATCACAAGACCCCCAAGAAGAGTGTCAAGGTCGCCAGTCGCCCGAAGAACCGGGCCCTGATTCAGTGGAGGAGTAAGTAAAATCCTTGCCGTTGAAACCCCGTTCCCGGTGACTGACCACAGGTATAGAGGAAGACCCCTTGCTCGTAACTCTACTCTGGGTACAGTATATTTGTGCCAAGGATCACGGCAAGTTGCCCTGGGACGACATCATCCCCAAGTGCTTCACCGGAGTCACATCGACAGCCTTCACCCAGTTCCTAGCGCGAGAGCGCAAGAGACTGCTCAAGATGGGCTATTGTGTTCCTCCTCTCCCTAGTCAGGCCAAGAGCTTGGAGAAGGATACGAACCTACGCGGCTATATCAATGAGCCTACCCCGGAGAACGAAGATGCCGTCAGGCCCATCAGTTTTGATGAGCCGTTCTTCCAGCCCTGCCAGCAAGGTGACAACTAGCAGTTGAAGACCAATGCAGCAGGCGAAGGAGAATCGGACGAAGATGAGGTGGATGATGCCATGGAGGAGGACCACGAGGATGAGGTTCCCTCAAATAACCATGAGGCCCCCGAAAAGGTGAGTTTTGATTCAAATGTCCCTCTTCAATTGCTGACATTCAAAAGTTGGGAGAGTCCTCAAAGGATCCTTTTCGCCAGGACCCTCATCAAGCTCCTACTCAGTTGAGACAGCATCTGTACGACAACGAAACTCAGTTGAATGACCAGGTTCACGAGAACTCGCATCCTCAACAGCAAGCTGAACCATTGCTGTTTCAACTGGCTCAGCAGTTTGCTGAGGCTCAATACGATGATCAGAACAACATCCAAGGCCAGCAGCAGCAACCGTTCAGCGAGACGCATACTTCAAATCAGCATAGTCAGGCGGAACAAGCCCACCAGGAGTGGCCGCCGCAGAATCAGCAGCTCAACGGAGGGAACAACACGCAGTTGTATATGCAAGCAATCGAGGCTTGGAAGCAAGATGCGCCCCCGAATGAAGCCCGAATTTACGTTGAGGGTCTCGCTCCCGTGGCATACCACCTTATTCAGGTGCCCGAGAGCGTAAGTGGTGGATTCCAGTCAATATCTGGCACCATGTACCCGCCACGAACGGAGAATGGGTACACTACATTTGCCATTCCACTCCCAGTCAACTTGGAGAACTATCTCCAAGGCTTCAATGGTCAGGAAGCTGGTGCTGCCACCCCCTTCAACAACCCTACTCCGACGGATGTAGCCCCGGGCACTTCGTCACTTAATGAACCCGCTTTTCAGGCTTTGAGCGATGGTTCAAGTGATGTCGTCAATGGCGGCTTCATCGGTGGTTCCCGTGGCGAACACCATCAGCATGATAATGCGGATCTCCCCGCGGCAGCTACTGGTTTCACTCACGTGGGCGATGCCCAGGGATTGGACTTGAATGAGTTCGATTTGACTGCCTTCGACTTTAGTCAATTCCAATGAATAGATGGAGTGCCATGGGATGGCACAGCCTGCAGCTTTCAGCATACTAGACATGGCAAAGAGTCATTAAGTCTTGATTGGGATAATGCGAACGTTGGCATTCGAGGCAACACAAGTGGAAGAGAAATATGCAGTTGTGTGCGTTTGTTATTTGGTCTACTTTTCTCCTTTCCCTTTCCTTTTCCCACACTGCCTCTTTTGACATATTCCTTGGCCCTTTTTGGCAGTGGAGAGTATTTTACAGTGGAGGAGGGCACAACAGCAGACAGCGCGACAATTGGTGCTGATTAGACTAAGCAATGGCAAGAGATTTGCTCTACATACGGGAGCTTTTGCTTTTCTAACCTCCGTTCCATTTGCTTTGATCGATTGATAGTAGCGCCCAAGGCCTATTATGAGCATGAGACACAATGGATTAACGCTTTGAGCTTCTCATACCAAGTTGTCAACCGAGTTTCTGCGAATAAAGTGCGCTGGATTCCTTGTTTGACTTATAATACCCGGCTATGAATAGCTCCAGAGGCATGGTATTCCACAGAGATAGACTGTCACCCAACTTAGGTGTGAAGTGGATGTTATATTTAAGAGAAGACCAGCACAATTTGCTTCTCGTGGTCTTGCCATGTATGTACAGTCGAATGAAACGTAGGCTTCAATCTCATTTCACAAAATTTGTACACGAATTTGAAAATGTAGAATCCTTCTCTCCTCACATACCATCAGCAAGCATGGCATTGATGATCTTGACGTGACGATCACCGTTTGTCTCGCTCCACTCGGTATCGTAGTTAAGACCGTACGGCCAGAAATGCGAGCCGCCACAGCTGATCTTGGCACTAGAGCCGTCCCATGAACGGAGCAGGGGCAATGCCGTAGCCCAGTCGCCGGATGAGCATTTGGAGTCGAAGGCGGCAGTCTGACCAACGCCGAGTGTGTGTGAGATCTCGTGGAGCGCCGTACGTTCGTTCATGTAAGATCGGTTCGATCCGAAACGGAGATCGCCGTTGTAGTTGGCCTCGGCAGTAGGAACGCCGGGCGTGTAGTAGACGCGGATAGTCTTGCTGGCACTTCCCAACTTTGCGTGTCTTGCGACGGCCAGCTTCATGGCGGCTTCGATTTTGGTGTATGCGTCGCTTTGGTCGGACGTGGGGTTGGCGGCCTTCTCGAGCGTCCAGGTGATGGCGCCTTGAGCGGCAGAGGCGGAGGCCACGATGACGGCAAGGAGTGACAACTTCATGTTTGCAGAAAGAGTGAATGTGTATTTGAGAGATTAGAGTATTGGATGCTGGTGATGATCTTGCGATATCTTCCGGTTCTTTGGCTTCGACCAACTCCCTTCTTATACTCCGTACTGTAAGAACACCATCGCTCAGGAGAGCTGCTCTGGCCCCTTGCTCAAGCGAGTTGGAAATTAAGGATATATGTTGCAAGAAGATCGTGCCTATTCTAACTCGGTCTCGCGCAACAGGCCCTATAACTCCCTTGCAGTAGCATTCTCATCCTTGCGATAGCGCGGCCAAGAGGTTAGGGGTTGCATCACGGCGCCACGGCGCCGGCGCGCCGTTTCTTGATGTTTCAAGTACAGTGAGATGCTGCAACAAAGTCGAGGCATGCGCACCTATGAAAAGACTAAGAAAAGAAGCTTGTTTGAAACGTTGCACCGTTGAATCTAGGTGTAACTCGCATGCGGCTAACGCATTGCTCGGATGGCAGTTCTCGTGACTTGCTTAAAGTGCCATCCAATGTTTGCTGAGCTGCTACGACGTCGGAGTTCATGCTCTGTACCTCGTACTCCGTACACCGCAATTATTGCTTGGCAAGATGGTGCAGCTGCTCAGGAGAAGCCCGCAGTCGATCGTCCGCCGATGTTCTCCGATGGTCGAACCCATGTCAATATTCGGCAATGGTCACTAGGGGATACCATGTGCGGATGCTGAGAATGGAGACAGATGCCATTGGAAGACGGTAGAAATGCACCCACAATTGCGCTATTCCCTTTTGGTCATGGCGCGCTCGAAGGGACCTCGTTTAGCCGAACGTCCGAGATAAATTTTTGGAGCCGTCAACGGGAAGCTTCTCCAATTCTATCACTCACTGCAACTTTTTACTTCATCTCCTTGGAGCGACACGTGTGATTCAAACCCGGCGACACCTTCAATCCTTAGTTCTGTATTTCTTCTTTCTTACCTAGATACCCTCATAATAAGATCCAAGATGCAGCGCGCACTTACTTCCCGCGCGAGAGCTTCCGTCCTCTCTGCTGCTCCCAGCAAGTTCCGTGCCGGTGCCGGCCTGGGACAGCAGCTTCGCTTTGCCCACAAGGTTAGTCAATATGTCACGAAGCATTGGCAATACCATCAGCTTCAGGATGCTAAATCAGTCTACAGGAGCTCAAGTTCGGTGTCGAGGGCCGTGCCGCCCTGCTCGCTGGTGCTGATACTCTGGCCAAGGCCGTCGCGACAACACTTGGCCCCAAGGGTCGCAATGTCCTCATTGAGTCCAGCTATGGCTCCCCCAAGATCACAAAGGGTAAGGAGAGACGCACTTGAGATGGAATTCATCAATAAGCTAATAGATTGGTAGATGGTGTAACTGTCGCGAAGGCAATTACCCTCAAGGACAAGTTCGAGAACCTCGGCGCCCGCCTCATCCAGGACGTCGCCTCAAAGACCAACGAGACCGCCGGTGACGGAACTACCACCGCCACTGTCCTCGCCCGTTCCATCTTCTCCGAGACCGTCAAGAACGTCGCCGCTGGCTGCAACCCCATGGACCTGCGCCGTGGTATCCAGGCTGCTGTCGATGAGGTCGTTGCTTTCCTCCAGAAGAACAAGAGAGATATTTCCACCAGCGAGGAGATTGCCCAGGTCGCCACCATCTCCGCCAACGGCGACCAGGAGGTCGGCAACCTGATTGCCAAGGCCATGGAGAAGGTCGGCAAGGAGGGTGTCATCACCGTCAAGGAGGGCAAGACTCTGGTCGACGAGCTCGAGGTTACCGAGGGTATGCGCTTCGACCGCGGCTTCGTCTCCCCCTACTTCATCACCGACGCCAAGTCCCAGAAGGTCGAATTCGAGAAGCCCCTGATCCTCCTCTCCGAGAAGAAGATCTCTGCCGTCCAGGACATCATTCCCGCTCTTGAGGCCTCCACCCAGCTGAGACGTCCTCTCGTCATCATTGCCGAGGACATCGAGGGTGAGGCTCTCGCCGTCTGCATTCTCAACAAGCTCCGTGGTCAGCTCCAGGTCGCTGCCGTCAAGGCCCCCGGCTTCGGTGACAACCGCAAGTCCATCCTCGGTGACTTGGCTGTCCTTACCAACGGTACCGTCTTCAGCGAGGAGCTTGACATCAAGCTCGAGAAGGCCACCCCCGACATGCTCGGCTCCACCGGCTCCATCACCATCACCAAGGAGGACACCATCTTCCTGAACGGTGAGGGCGCCAAGGACTCCATCTCCCAGCGCTGCGAGCAGATCCGTGGTGTCATGAACGACCCCACTACCTCCGAGTACGAGAAGGAGAAGCTCCAGGAGCGTCTGGCCAAGCTCTCTGGTGGTGTCGCCGTCATCAAGGTCGGTGGCTCTTCAGAGGTTGAGGTTGGTGAAAAGAAGGACCGCTTCGTCGATGCCTTGAACGCCACCCGCGCCGCCGTCGAGGAGGGTATCCTGCCCGGTGGTGGTACCGCCCTTATCAAGGCCTCTGCCCTTGCTCTTAAGGATGTCAAGACCGCCAACTTCGACCAGCAGCTTGGTGTCACCATCGTCAAGAACGCCATCACCCGCCCTGCTCGCGCCATCGTCGAGAACGCTGGCCTTGAGGGCTCCGTCATCGTCGGCAAGCTCACCGACGAGTTCGCCAGCGATTTCAACAAGGGCTTCGACTCCTCCAAGGGCGAGTACGTCGACATGATTGCCGCCGGTATCCTTGACCCCTTCAAGGTCGTCCGCACCGGTCTGGTTGATGCCAGCGGTGTTGCTTCCCTGCTCGGTACCACTGAGGTCGCCATTGTTGAGGCTCCCGAAGAGAAGTCAGGAGGTCCTCCTATGGGCGGCATGGGTGGTATGGGCGGAATGGGAGGCATGGGTGGTATGATGTAAAAACATGATCCATGATCAAAATGTCTTCCTTGTATTAAAAAAAGTCAACTGGGCGAGGGGCATGGGCATTGGTGTTACTGTTAAAAAGGATGTATAACTGCGGCCATTTGTACTAATCTCCCCTCTTTCCCCCTTTTACGCAGCAGTATCCCTGAGGGGACATGAGAGCTCTGTATTGTACAATAGCACTAGCAAGTTATGTAAGATGAAAGAAAGGAAGCAAAACGAGTTAAAGAACAACTAAACAAAGATCGCATGCATGCATTGACAGGACTGGAGCTGTGCACAGTGTGTTGACGTTGGTCGGTATTTGACAGTCCAGTGACAGCTTGAAGAATTGGGCCAGTGTGTCGGCCGCTACTTTTTAGTGGTAGAGTTCCTTGGCTTCTTCATGCTGACAAGTAAGGTAGGCAACCGTTAAGTGCAGCCCGGTCCACGTCACGTAAACAGGCACCCATCGTTGCTTTTTTGGTGATGACTTCCTGTGTTTATTTTAACCCAAGCAACAGGAGCTCGTCGCCCCTTGCAATGGGCTGTCCCCCCAACAAGAGATCCCAAGTTCAGGCCCTGTCTGTTGACTGCCGCCTGGGGTGGGATTCGTCAACCTCCTGTGGCTGACGCAGATAGTCACGTGCTCCAATCTCACCTGGACAACAACCCCACCATGCGGGTGTTTTTCTCGCCCGCTTCCCCTCCACTGTGACCCAACTCCTCCGTTCCTGTCCAAGATACCTCATCACCCGAAAGCAAGCTGTTGCCTCTTTTTCTGCCACCACCCTCCGTGCAGCAAATCTCCCGGCCGAACCACTCGATCTTGAAGTAGGCACCCCATTTTCCATTCTGCTTTGCACGGCAAACATTATTAAAACATTCAATTTCCCTCCCGTTTCTTAGTTGCTAATCTGCTCTCAGCCCACTTTCCCGCCTCTTCTCCTAGCCACACCCCCGCCATAGACCAGCATCATGGTGAGTAACTAAAAGCTTCCAAGGATCAGCCGTCTACCAAAACACCATGCTAATCTCAATCGCAGTCTCAATCCGGGTTCGTATTTCCCCCTTCCGAAGAGCCTCGTACCTCTGCGCCGACGAACCATTTGATGGGCGACTCTACCGCTCGTTCGATGACGACCCCAGCGGAGCAGGACAAGCTGGCTCCATCTATCACCTCAGCAAGGCGGCGCGCATGCTAACCCGGTTTTCTCCACCAGAGCGCAAGTCTCTCAGGAGTGCATAACGGCCTACAACGAGCTCAAGCTCTCCAAGAAGTACAAGTACATCATCTACAAGCTTTCGGACGACAACAAGGAGATCGTCGTCGAGGAGGCCTCGGCCGATAAGGACTATGACAACTTCCGCGAGAAGCTGATCAACGCCCAGACCAAGTCCAAGAGCGTACGTTTCTTTGCTTCCCGCGACACAATGCTGCAATTTAAAGACAATCCTAACAATGCATCAGGGTGCTGTTGGCAAGGGCCCCCGCTACGCCGTCTACGACTTCGAGTACAGCCTTGCCTCTGGCGAGGGTGAGCGGTACGTTGCCCCGCATTCGCCCAACTTGGAACCTGCAGCTAATACCCCAATAGCAACAAGATCACCTTCCTCGCCTGGTCCCCCGATGATGCCGGTGTCATGGTCAGTCCCAGCTCCTCTCGCATAGCTCAATTGAATTGTTGCTAACCTATCACAATAGGCCAAGATGGTTTACGCCTCCTCCAAGGAGGCCCTGAAGCGCTCGCTCACTGGTATTGCGACCGAGCTCCAGGCCAACGATGCCGACGACATCGAGTACGACTCCATTCTCAAGACCGTCAGCAAGGGCATGGCTGGTTAAATGTCTCTTTCCCTCTCAAACACACCCATACCCTTCCTTGCGCGGTGAGACGGAGCAATACACTTTGGCGGCTGCAGTCTTCCGGGACGATTGACGACGATCATGGAGAGTTTACGATGAATATGGAGGGCCACTTTCTCCCCCTGGCGATTTCGGGACCCAGACCTTTTTCCCACTCCGAGTTTCTTTTTGGGGCGTGACAAGTAAATTTCCAGATTTGAACTGCCCGCCTGGTTATATCAAACCCAGTGCCATAGGAAAACATCTCATGCCGGAATGCAGAGCATTCTTGTTGTTGCCCAATAACGACGACAAAATCACTTCTTTATTAGACCATTACCTATGCTCAAGTCTCGTCCATCGTGATTTTCTTTGTTATGACTTCTTCTGCGCTTGCCAGGTTGAGCGCCACAGCCCTGATAGCTCCTCCGCCTTTTTCTCGTGCTTGAGCCTCTGCAACAAGAAGCCCTTGAGATCACTCCAGAATTCGTCCGTGTCCAATGCCGCCTCTCCAATGTCCTCCTCAGTAGTGTTGGGCGCGACCGCAGCGCTAGGCTCAGGCTTGACTGCAGCAGCTCCTCCAATAACCATGACGGAGAACTCGAGAGATGCCTGGTTGTCCGTAAGCAAGTCCTTCAACACCTTGCTGTCTGGCACCGGCTTCTTGTTGAACAGCAGCTTCATCTTGTCCACAGGTATCCGTGACTCCGCCTCGACGGCCGTCTTAATGTCGAGGATGGAGGTGTTGAGCGGCTGGGAGGACAGCTTGATATCCAAGGGAGGGTTGCGCAGGGACTTGAGGGTGACGTTGACACTGCGTTCCTGGCCCGGCGCAAGGTTCGAGGGCTTGCTCATGGCCTTGGGCATCTTCGGCAGGATGTACTACATGACGTTAGCTACCCATAGCTACAAACGCTTCACTAATGCGGATAAGGCTTACAGGAGGGCGGGCCGGGAAATTCTTGGGATCCTCGACATGATCGGCGGACAGCTTCGCCGGGCGCGACTCCAAAGTCGCCAGGAACTGTCTTGCGAATACGACTTCGGCCATCGTTGCGGTTTGCTAAGCTATGTGGCGCGCTTTCGGGAAGTTTGCCAGGTCGAGGTTGCTCAAGTCGTTGGTTTGAGTTCAGGAGCTATAGGTTGGGTGAGATATAGTGAGGACTGTCTGCGGAGGCTTAATTACTAGATGATCGGCTGGAGGTAAGGCGTTGGAAATGACTTCGTCCGGTGTTTCTGGTGTCTGCCCGCTTGCTCTGGTAGAGTTGACGCACTGAAGAGGGATGGCGGGGCGGACTGAGCTGGGGTGTGGAGCTTCGACCGCTCGTCTGGGCGGCCAGTGGCGGCGTGGCTTTATCGGTCAATCTTATCGGGGCTGGTCAGTGCGCGATAGGAAAAAGTTTCGGTGGGGGGACCGCTTCTAATCCCAAGTGAAGGAACTTTTTTTTTTCTTTCTGAGTGCAGCGGCGATCGACTTTGAACTAGGCGGTACCGTATATCTCGAATTTTTTACCTTCTTCGATACCCTTTCTTCCCACCCTCAGATACCCAAGTTTCGATACGAATTGATCGACCAAAATGGGTGTCGGAAATCGTATGAAGAAGCAGGGTGCGCCCGAACCCCTGTCCGAGGCGCATTTCGCAAGATTGAAGCGCAAGGCCGGTCTGCCAGTCGAACCCGTCGAGGCCCCCGAGGTCAAGAGGAGGAGAAGAGGAGCGGCGACCAAGGCCAATGCCGCCGCGGCGAAGAAGCAGGATGCGAAAAAGCGCAACGACATCAAGGCTGGAAAGCCTGCGCCCAAGGCCGCCAACGGCAGAGGAAAGAAGGCTCCCCAGCCCGTCGAGGACTCGGACGAAGAGATGTCAGACGACGACGATGCCGGCGACTTTGAGGGTGCCCCTTCCGACATGAGCGACGATGACGAGGTCGACGAGTTCTCCGACCTCGAGGCTGCTGAGAAGCTGGGAGACGACTTCATAGATGGTTCTGACGACGATTCCGTCTACGACTCAGAAGAGGAGCGCGGCGGCGGCGGAAAGCACATGTTCTCAGAGGACGAAGACGACTCGGACGCCGAGGATATTCTCACAAAGGCCAACATTGAGGGTCTCGCATGGAAACTCGACCAGAAGCAGGCAGAGGAGGACGCCGACGCGCAGGCCGAACTCGAGGAGATGGGCATGCAGACCAACATTGACGGCGACAAGCCGCACATCCTCGACGACGACTCGGACGACGAGCTCGCCGCCAAGACCAAGACGCTCCTCGCGCCCGACCTGCAACTTCTGAGAACGAGAATCACGGAAAACATCAGAGTGCTTGACGACTTTGCGAAGCTCCACGAGGAGGGCCGCTCTCGCACCGAGTATGTCTCCCAGCTCCTCAAGGACATCTGCGCCTACTACGGCTACTCCGAGTACCTCGCCGAGAAGCTCTTCTCCCTCTTCTCGCCCCGTGAGGCGTTCGCCTTCTTCGAGGCCAACGAGTCGGCCCGTCCCGTCGTCATCCGCACAAACACCCTCCGCACCCACCGCAGAGACCTCGCCCAGGCCCTCATCGGCCGTGGCGTCACCCTCGAGCCTGTCGGCAAGTGGTCCAAGGTCGGCCTCCAAATCTTTGAGAGCAACGTGCCCCTCGGTGCCACGCCCGAGTACCTGGCCGGCTACTACATCCTCCAGGCCGCCTCCTCTTTCCTGCCCGTCATGGCCCTCGAGCCGCAGGAGAACGAGCGCGTGCTGGATATGGCCGCCGCTCCCGGCGGTAAGACGACGCACATGGCCGCCATGATGAAGAACACTGGTGTCATCGTCGCCAACGATCCCAGCAAGCAGCGTGCTAAGGGTCTCATTGGTAACATCCACCGCCTCGGCGCCCGCAACGTCGTTGTCTCAAACTACGACGCCAGGGAGTTCCCCAAGCCCATGGGCGGCTTCGACCGTGTCCTTCTCGATGCCCCTTGCTCTGGTACCGGTGTCATTGCAAAGGATGCCAGTGTCAAGACCAACAAGACGGAGAGGGATTTCATGCTGCTGCCGCACATGCAGAAGCAGCTTATTCTTGCCGCCATTGACTCTGTCAACCACCACAGCAAGACTGGAGGTTACATTGTCTATTCTACATGTTCCGTCACAGTCGAGGAGAAGTAAGCACACCCCCATCTCCTTTTCATTTCTCATTACAGCCATACTAACAACCTCAAAGCGAGTCCGTCGTAGCATACGCCCTCTCCCGACGCCCCAATGTCAAGCTCGTTGACACCAACCTCCCCTTCGGTCGCGAGGGCTTCACCTCCTACATGGGCAAGAAGTTCGATCCCTCCCTCAAGCTCACTCGCCGCTACTACCCGCACACCTACAACGTCGACGGCTTCTTCGTCGCCAAATTCCAAAAGATTGGCCCCACCCCCGCAAAGGCCGACAGGGACCGCTCCGCCTCTTCCATCGGCGAAGTCGTCGACAAGACCCCCATCACCACCGACGACGAGTCCAACGCCGGCGGCAAGTCGGGCGACGATTTCGGCGGCTTCGACGAGGATGAGGATGAGGAGTACGTCCTCAAGGCTAAGCGCAACGCCATGCGCAGACGCGGTCTCGACCCCAACGCCCTGTCTGCCAAGGCGAAGAAGGCTGCCTCCGCCGCCAAGAAGGAGTCTGCTGCTTCTTCAGCTTCCGAGGCTGAAGCCGAGAGCGCCGCTGAGACCGAAAAGGTCGAGAAGCCCGCGGAGAAGACGCCCGAGAAGAAGGACAAGAGCAAGCAAAAGGCCGCCGCGGCCGACAAGGAGAAGAAGGCTGAGAGGAATCCGGCCCAGAAGAAAGTGACCTCCACCTCGGCCGCGCCGGAAAAGAGCCCCAAGAGCAAGAGCCCTAAGCAAAAGAAGGAGAAGAAGTCTGCGAAATAAAAGGACGAGGAATGAGAAAAAAAGGGATGAACTAGAACGAGGGTTGGGATCTTTTTGAGTGTATCTTGTGTAGTAGACAAAGAAGCATCTTGTCAGGGATCGAAGTCGAAACGAATCCTCTGTCTGTTGTCGTTGTTGTTGTTGTTGTTGTTGTTGTTGTTAGGGTTGTTGCATTATAATTACCTATTACTACTAAATGGAGTCGGAGCTCAAAAAAGGTTTTTGGGAAATAAAAAAAAGTATCGAACAAGAATATCGAACAGTGGATAGGGCCGTTGTCACGGTCGTCGCTGTCGCCGTCATTCATCGTGCTCGTCGTTTGCTTCAGCCAAATGAAAAAGAAGCCTTTCACATCCATGTCAAGAAAATTATCCAGCCAGCTGGTCTCGAAGAGAATTCAGAAAAGAAGATCGGGTTATTGCTAATCCAATACGCCGAAGCCAAAAAAAAAATGAGTCTAAGCAGAGCTTTTCGTCAAAGTGTCCATCATCATCAAAAGATAGATGACACACCACCCAGCCAATCCTTGACTGCATCAGCAGAATAAGGAAGGCTCATGCTCAACCTCCTCAACCACAAAAAGCCATCGTAAAGATAAAAAAGCATTGTACAAAAGTGCAGGAATCAAAGCAATCCTTTCCTCCACTATGGTCATAAACCCTCTTATCCAGCTCGGGTCTGGATGGTATCGAGTCCCGAATCCCAAATCATCTGTTGTCATAAAGTCGGCGTGCCATTTCCTCTGCCAGACCTCTTTTCGTCGTAAAAGCCGTATGTCATGAATCCTATTCAAGACTTTTTGTAGGAGTATGTTGTACACAAAGAAGAGTCCAGAAAGTCGTCACTGGAATCGTCGTAAATGTTGTTCGTCGTAATACTTCTCCCAAAACGCCGTCGTCGTAGATCGCCCTGTCGTTCGCCATGACGCCAGGGGTATTAAAGTAATAATGTATGAAGAAAAAAGCATAAAATGCCACCCAGAGTAGAATGCTGTTGGTGAGGTGAGGTCTACTGGGCAGCCCTCTGATGAAGCAGGATGTCGCGGATTGCCCATCTGGCAGCTTCGCGGTCACTGTCTCCCACGCCGAGCCACTTCTCGCATTTCTTTCGCCATCGGTCTTCTTCCTCGCGCTGTCTCCGGACGAATTCAGGACCGACATCGAATTCTTCCCCGACAAGCCACTCGTCCTTAACTTCGCTGACGCGGCCGGGTTCCTTGGAGTCGCCTTGGTTGTCGTCAAGATCGGGAATGTCCTTGAAAACGTCCTCGTCGTCATCCAAAGCATTGAAGCCGTCCATAGGGTCGGGTATCTCTGACTTGGTGTTTGTCTGTGGACCAAGCTTGAGCCAGCACATGTTCTGTGGGTCAAAGACCATGCCACCAACGACCTGCACGCCCTTCGTGTGGCTTATGTTCGTGATCAGAGCCGGCCGAGGTGTTGAAGAAGCTTCCCTATCTCGTACCACGTGCGGCGGCATCGATGTTGGTGACGGGGACGAGGCGGGTGGGTCGAACGCGTTCAAGACATTTTCGTTGCCTTCCCAACGGTAGGTGTCGGGGTTGTAGAACATGCCCTGAAGATCTGCAGGGTTGTCAGTATATCGGTGTGCAATCCTTTGGGCTAGTGCACTTACGTTGCGGAGTCTTGTCCTTATTCATGTTGGAAATTAGATGAGGCTTCAATTGGGGAAGGTTCCTCTTCTTTTTCGACCGCACCGTCGCCTGTGGTAGTCCGGGATTGAAATTGTTCCTGGACGACAGCTGGGAAACGCGCGACGTGGTGAGAGGTGCCAGTGGGCCTGATGGAGCTCGTTGAGCAAGCGAGGTCTCCCGAGCAATTCGGCTAGCCTGGGTATCGCGGGCGAAATGGGGCGTGTAATCACCCTTCGCAGGGGAGCAAGGTGCCGGGGAGGGCGTGGTGGTCCGATCAGGAAGCACATTTTGGTAGAGCTTGTTGCGAAGCGGTGCTTTGACAGGTTGTCGGACAAATTTCGCCTCTGAATGAGCCGAAGTAGGCAAGTCGTCAAATCCATCCAACTCATGCCCATCACCAAAGTTCCGGGTTCGGTTTGGCTTGGTAAGTGTACGGAACGACAAACCGTCGCGGGTAATATGGTCCGAATGACGGTTTGTTCTCTTCGGACTCGGCGACCGCATTGTCGACCTGGAAAATGCCCTCGAGGTCGGCCGCAAGTCCAGAGCGTTCTCGGAATCGTGGCGGCGGAAGCTGCGAGAAGTTTTTGCAGTCACGTGCTGCGACTGGGATTGTGAGGCCCCAGCAGGGAGAAAGGGGCGTCGTTGCTGGGCAGCGAAGCTTTCCACAGCGGGTCGAGATCTCTCAGTAGGAGTCTTGGGCCGCATTGAGGAAGGTGGACGACCATCTGTCCTAGATGGTGGCCGTTCAAATCGGGACATGGTCTTTGCCGGTGAGTGAGAGCTGCTCATTGCAGGCAGAGATCGCTTAAATCTAAGCAACTGCGTGCTGGTAGTCGTCGGCTCATTACGCAGCGAAGTCGTCGAGGTTCTAGCACCAAGCTCTCGCCTGCGTGGCGTCGAGGGGAGCAAAGAGCTCGATGGAGAAGGTGTTGTGGGAGTCGGCATGCTATGAATGCTCGTGACGGAAGACTGAGATTGGTGACCCATGCGAGACTGAGATCTTCGCGTACGAGCAAAGATAGGACCACCACTCTCGGACACAGGCTCCAAGGCAGACTGAGTTCGCTCATGACGCTCATGGCTAGGCCGAGGGAGCCGTGATGGAGTAGCCTTGTTGGTGAAGGTCAATGAGATCGCAGTCTTGGGCCTCTGAGGGCTCGGTGGGCGGTTTGCGTTGACACGAATATTGCGATGGAGAGTAAGCTTTCCCGAATTGAAGACGTCGCCATCACCCACGTCAAGGCCATCAAACATGTCTTCAGGCTCTGGCTCGCGCGGTTGAGGAGTCTTGAGGTTTGGAGGCTCTTCTTCCACGGGACGTACAGGAGAGCGACTGAGTTTCCTACGGCTCAATCTCTCGCCAAAGTTGACGGGGCCACTGGGAAGTACAAGGCCATCAAACATCTCATCTTCGCTCTCCGCGGTGAATGAGCTCGATACGCTAGGGCTCATGGCAGAGACAGACGAGCTCCTATTCGAACGAGCGTCTCTTCGAGTGCCTCCAAATCGGGTGCCTAGGCTACCCTCACCCCAGTCCAGATCATCTGCCTGGTTTGACGGCGTCTTGGGGATGTCTTTTCTAGTAGAGAGCCTCAACTTGCCGTCCGAGGGCAATTCGAAGTCGTTCTCGAAATCATCGTCCAAAGGCTTGTCAATCTTTTGAGGGGTCGGTGGCGTAATAAGTGAAATGGGCTTAGGTGGGCGAGTCTTTGATACTTTGATAGTTTCCGATCCATCGCCAAAGAAATCATCATCGTCGTCGTTGTCACGGAACTTCTCCAAGTTGAGAGCCCCTGATAACGTGCTCGTCCTTGATTCCGTCGACTCTCTCCGGTCCAGCATCGAAACCGCCGGAGGAGTCTTCATAGCTTTGGTTGGACTGGTCTGATTCGAGCCGCCGCTGACTTGTCGAAGAGCGTCGGGGAATCTGGAGCCGTCCTGAGGTTTGATGCGAAGGCCCTGAGCCGAGTCTGGTAGAACCAGATCATCCTCCCAATCGTCCTGCATGATCTTCTTGATCTTTCGTCCACCAAGTCGCTTAATAGTACCGCCCATTAAAGCGGAAGAAGGCACATTTTTGGGTATCGGAATGCCGGCCTGTGTAGCAGCGGCGATGGCGTCGAGGGTCGACTTCTCGTCGTCGCCCGGGACATGCACTTGAGTCTCTTCGTCCAGAATAGATTCGAGGTCGGAACGGAGGGAAACATGTGAAGACGCAGAGTCGCGTCGTGTGGGAGGAAGGGTAGTAGCGGTAGAGGCGGTGCGGAATGTCAGATCGTCGGTGTCGATTTGGAAATCGTCATCGTCCCAGTCTTCAATGTCGGGTTCCGCCGCCGGCTGGCGTGGCTTGAGGCGTAAAGGTTCCATGTTTTCGGTAGGTTTCTTTGTTTGGGGGAGCGCAGAATTGAATTGGGTCCGAGAAGGCCGTGGTCGTATCGCAAAAGACTTCCCGACAGCGCTTTTCTGCTTGTCAATGTTGCAAGATCATATCGTCAACAATAACAGCAGCCCCGGCCCGGCATAACCTTGGAGGCAGAGATAGTGTTCGCAAGCAATGTTGTTTGACAGTATTTGGGCGTCGCGGGGGGCGCAAAAAGATTTGTCGTGGTGGTGGTAAGGCGTAGAAATGGCGGCTTGGATTGTTTTGAGTCGAGTAAAGTATCGTCGTTTCCGGGAATGTGCGTAGTAGTGTGCGAAGTAGTGTGTCTGTGGGCTACTGGTAGGAAGAATTGCAAGAGATGCAAACAGGTGCAGAGGCAGAGCAAGTGGAGGTGATCCAGAAAGGTTCCTCGTAAGGGGCGATTGATTGCGCAAGAGGAACAGAAACAGGGTCCAAAGATGTCGAGCGTGACGTTCGTCGAGGGTTGTGCTGGAGTAGAATGAGATCAGGGCAGTCGTGAGTGTCGGGGGAGAGACTGGATTTGCCCTTCTTGTTGGATGAGGTGTAGCAAAAATGGCTGGGAAGCTGGGGTTGATGGATCGGGCCTGGCAAACAAAGCGAGGTGGTAGGTCGGGCCGGGCAGATGGTGGGCTGGGTCCAGTACGAGTGGTGCGTGGGCAGCGTGGTGCAGCACAGCGCAACGTAGTGGGTGGTGTGGTGGACAGCTGGGTGGCTGGTATTGCGCGCAGGTGTGGGCAAACCCACTGAGCTACGTATCCCGTGTGAGGTGTTCCGCAGGCACGAGGGTGACAGAATTGGGGGTATCAGGGACCGGTGAGTGTGTGTGTGTTATACGATTCTCACATTCCCCCCTTTTCGCTCCGGGTGTCTCTTCTTTTCTTCTTTTTTCTTAAGCTTGATTGACAATCCACTATCGTCTTTCTTGGTCTCTCTGAGTGCTGGGACAACAGAAGGGAGTAAATAATTAGGCCGGCAGGGCAGGGACGGTAAGAGAGTGGAAGAGAAAGGGACGATCTAGACAAGCTGGGTCCGTTATTTTTCTGCGGGACATTCGAGGTACTCCGTAGAGAGAGTCATGCTCGGGGTGGACAACAGACGGGGAAAGAACAGGTGGGAGACTTGGGAGGGTGCAGACCGGGGGTCCAGGGCTCTCCAGTGAATCATAATTTTTCCCAGGGTGAGCCACGTGATTCAGCGGGGACATCAGATGGTGTACTGATTGGACGACGAGCACATGTATGCGGGGACGGTTGCACTTGCACGATCCTGACGCGTTGGAGGCGCGACAGCCCTTTCCACCCTTCGTCTTGTACCTAAGGGCATGGAGGTGAGCTCAGCCAACGGCGATTGCAGCAACGAGAGGCTGGTAGTTTAGGGAGAAAATGGAGGCATCAGGCTATAATTAGTGCTGCCTTTCCTATCGATTTCCACCAAGGGCAAGAGAAAAGAAGTTATCGAGAGTCTATGGTTTACCAGGGCGAAGTAATATTGACCGGTGATTTCTCTCTCTGGGCTCTCTCTTCCGGTTCATCCCACAGGCAATAGGTCCAAACACAAAGCCGTCATCTCCGTAGCTTCCTGTTTATTTGTTGACAGCACCTGACCTCACCTTCCTTGCGAAGTAAAAGCACCAAAACAATTGCTGACTGCCTTGCCTTACTTTTCCCGCTCTCCGTGCCCTCCCACGACCTCCGTACCCCCTCCCCGTCCCGAACTTACGTCTCAATACCAAGGCCAAAAGGTCCAGGCTGCCTGAGGCGTTGCACAGTCCCCCCCCCTTCTGCTGCCTGTCTGAGCGCCATAGTTGCCTAGCGTTCTCAACCCCAGGACCCCTCGAGGACCCTCACGGTTCAGATGAAGCCACACTCAATTCACTGTATTTAATCAACAAACTACCAACTCTGGCTATTCAGTCTCAGTCTCACTCTCCCGGACTGCTCTGTCTCAACCTCCGTCCAACCAGGAATCTCCCTCGAGCCAGAGTAGTTGCAATTTAGATTCCAACCCTTGGAACCAAATAATTACGCACTTACTGAAACTTTCCGACGACAGCCCGAACCAACTCTCGGGCCTTACAACCGGGGTTGCAACTGCCACTTACATCGAACCTTCAGCTCATTCCCGTGGCACGCAAGGGGGGAAGCAACCGATTCTTTTGTCGAGTTTACATCGGTCGAGACACCTAGTCATGGCATCCGGCCACGTTCTCCGATTTCCCCGGTCAGACAGTGAAGGCGCTTTTGTCATCGTCCAGGCCACGCCAACCAGGTCAAAGGCACTAGATGTCAAGTTGGTGGGAACAGATGGCGTGGAGCCATATGCCGTTTCTCGTGAGTTTCCAAGTTCCAAGTTCCAAACGCTCGTCATCCCGCCTTCCTGGCCGACGATCACCGCGGCCCGGGAGAGTGGGGTCTTGGCCGGACGCCTGTTTCATGCACCGAACTCATCCACCTCTTATTATACGTAAATTTTTGAAAAAAGCTAATGGTAGGGTTTCCCTGGTAGTGCGTCACGATAAAGTCGCATCACTACGCGTCAAGAACAGTCCAGTGTCTGAGGAAGAATGGGTCGCTATTTTGAATGCCGTCTTGCGACAAGAACCGGCCGATGGCGTTGAAGCAATTGCCTCTGTGGAAAACGAGTCAGTTCTCACCCTGACTATTCGAAAAAAGGGGAATGAGTTTACAGTAAGTTTTCGCGTTCCAGCCTTGTTACCTTCCGGGTGGGTGACCGGGCTGGGCTGACGGGCTGGTGAATCTAGCAACGGCTCGGCGCCATCGAATTGAGCCACAGCCCACGCGAGCTCATTGAGCTATTCGACTGGTGTGCGCTCTCGGCGCAGACAGCCAATGAGGCCAAGGAAGCTCTAGCTTCGACGACTGCGAAAGCAAGCAAGCTCGAAGACTCTGTGCGGGAGCTCAAAGCTCAACTCGACGAGCTAGTCGCGGCCAAGGAGGCTGACGAGTCGGAACTGCTCGAAAAGTTCCGCGACCTGCTCAACGAGAAGAAGGTCAAGATCCGCCAGCAGCAGAAGCTACTTGCTTCTGCATCCGTCGAGCCGGAGAGGCTAGCGCAGGTACAGCAGAGCTCCCAGGCCGCGGTAAGAGGCCATGCGGCCGCCAAGTCGAGGCCGGGCAAGAGGAAGACCGCTCTCGCGCCTGTTGAGGATGCTGATTCGTCAGAGGAAAGTGAGGGCAAAATGGATATTGATGAAGTCAAGGAACAGGCTGCAGACCTGTCAGACCAGCAGCGCGACACAACTGAGGATGAGGACGAGACGGCGAGTGAAGATGACGATGAAGAGCCGGCAGCACCAGCGCCCAGTAAGCACACACGGTCTCAAGTATCACCACCGCCCAAGCCAAAGGCTGCTGCCGCGCCTGCGAAAAAGGAAGCGCCTCCTGCGAAGAGGGATTTGCCTTTTGCAAGAAAGAAGGCAGCGCCAAAGGCACCGCCGCCACCTGCCGGCAGCGAGACTGAGTCTGACGATGAGCTATGAGTGGGATTGAAGGAAGCAAATAAAGCACAATGATTCCTACACCAAACCCCTGGCCTACACTTCACGCAATAGTATCTGCAAGTGTTGACTAGAAATTGTTGAGAACTTTTGTCCGAACGACGTTCATAATTACTAATTACCACTAACACTACTAGAGACACCCTCTCTTGCTACAGTGAGCGGTGCAGACCCGGGGATGTCATCGAACTCATCGAGTATCATCATCCTCAAACTTGGCCTTCCAAAATCCGCGAAAGTGCTTGGTCTTGCCAGCCTCGGAGATATCGCTCACCTCTTTGGGAGTAAGCTTGATAGCGGGAATATGGTTCAAGTAGCTCTGCAGTCTGTCCTCCCTGGAAGAAGTGGTGATGACAATCAGACCCTGATCGATGCACCATCGAAGTCCGATGACAGAGTCGGCCACGCCGTACTTCTTGGCCAAGTTGGCCCAGATAGTTCTGACGGGTGAATCGATATTCGAAGTGATGGGCGTCAAAGGAGCATAGACAGACACGGCAATCTTGTTCTTGCGGTGGAATTCCAGTAAATCGCCGTGCTGCAGATGAGGGTGGAACTCGATCTGGTTGATCGCAGGCGGGACCTTGGCCGTCTTCAAGATGGCCTCGATATGCGGCTGCAAAAAGTTGGAGAGCCCGATGCTCTTCGCGCGGCCACTGGCCTGGATGGCCTCGAGATCCGCCCACTTTTGCTGCAGCTCCTCGTCCGAGTCTGCAAAAAAGGGCGCGTGGATGAGGTAGAGATCCACGTACTCGAGATCGAGCTTCTTCAGCGTGGTGGCGAAGGCTTCTTCGGTGTCCTGCTTCTTGGTCCCGCTGATTTTGGCGGTGACGTAGAGCTTCTCCCTTGGCACGCCAGCCTCTTTGATGGCTGCGCCGAACTCTTCCTCGTTTCCATATACTGGGGGAACCTGTTAAATGTGATGATCTATGGATGGGGTGGGTGATCAATCAAAAGCTGCACATACCTTCGGCGCCATCGAGATGATGGTACCCGGCCTTGATCGCCATGACGGTGTTGTCGACGATCTTCTTGTCAAAGCTGGCCCCGCCAGCCTTGTAGTTGGCAGTACCCAGGCCATATCCGAGCTACCGATACGTCAGTATGAGACGTCTTCTTGGAGTAAGCTGACGGGCGATGCGACAATTTTGTTATTAAGATTAAAATTGAGCTGGAATGCCCCTGGGACCTGGCGCTGACATGCATTGCCGAACGGGTAGATCTTCCCGCAGGAACGGAAGTCCCTTTCACTTGGAGATTTAGACTCACCATTGGGATCTTGTTGCCATCGTTGAGGGTAAGCCATGGGATGTACTCCACCTGCTTGGGAGGAGTTCCCGAAGCATCGGGCGTGAAGGTGGATAAGATCGAGTTCATTGTGCGTTTTTGGGGATGTTGAGAAGCGATGAGGGGCAATATGGGACGAGGACGCAGCGTTGAGCAGAGTCTTGATGAGTGTCTCGTCAAGAACATACGGCAGTGTATGAAGGGGATGATAAAAGATAGCTTCGAAGCAGACGGGTAGTGATGGGCCGGGACCAGGGGTTTGTATTTCTAATCCGACGGCCTTCTGCTGGTATCTTCAGATGGGAGGAGCTATGAGGTGAGGGGGTGATGGTTGTGTTATCAGCACGATGGGATGGGACGAGGACGAGACACTCAAAGGCACTGGTGCTTTCAGCTCATTCATCGAGTTCTGTTTCGATGACATGCAGTAATAGCAAACTTGCAGGGGAAAACATGCTTCCCCCGCCTGCATCGGCCATCAACAGCCGAGACGTCCAATTGACATCACTCAAAGTCGTGCTTTTACCTACTGGTAAACACTGGTAAACTGGGGAGCTTCTTTCCCAGTGTGTCAAAGGGAGGCGTTTTTTTTTTCTTCGGAACTTGCTGCTGCTGCAATGGGCTGGAATTGGAACTTCCTTCTCCTCACCCCACTTGCCCCAATTGGAGCTGTTTGCCAGGGCGTGCTGGATTCCCGGGACGGCGGCGGGGAGTTTGGGGGCGGCTGCGTTCTCACTCGCAGTGCGGCGGTGACGCCAATGGTGACGACAGTGTGGGAGCTGTTGCGTGATGCACCTGGGCATGAGGTGCAGCGCCGGCCGGGACTCGGACCGTGAACTTAAGGTACCTTATCCTCAGGGTCTACGTCCCCTTCGGATCTTGGAGCGGGGACCGAAGAGGATTTCGAAGTTCGAGTTTTTTAGATATTTGATATCTGGATGATTAATAGTCTCCGGGATCGGTGGTTGTTGCCATCGGCGACCGTCAATGTGGACGCCGAGGTTCTTTCTATCCAGGTGCCCGCATCTTTGGTTTAGTCAGCGTAGATTTTTTGGGAACCGCCACTTGAAGCTCCGAGAGTCCCTCATCGCCGACTCAGTGCTGACTTACACACTACGGATCATCATTACCGAATGACCCCTCCACCACGTTTTCCCTAATCACGTCTCATGTACACTTGCATATGATACCCCCATTCTCTTCGTGTGAATAGATTTTGTTGACTCTGTATTGCACCTCACATTGAAGTGAACCTCAAAATCCGCGTATATGCTCTCGAGACTGCTCTCCCGCCGAGCCGTCCCAAGAGCTATCATCAAACCCCCCACCATCATGGCCGCCCAACTCTCCAACGGCGCCGGCGCAGGCGCAATGCCAACAACGACATCCTACCAAGGCCTCCCGATAGGCGAGCTCCCCAAGACATGGACCTACACATCCTCCCTCCCGCCCGACGCAATCTTCCCGACGCCAGCCGACTCCCACAAGACCCCGCGCGACCAAATCGCCCCGCGCGGCGTTCGCAACGCAGCCTTCACCTGGGTCCGCCCCGAGACCACCGAGAACCCGGAGCTCCTCGCCGTGAGCCCGGCCGCGATGCGCGATATCGGGATCAAACAAGGCGACGAAGAAACAGAGGACTTCAAGCAGACCGTCGCGGGGAACAGGTTACACGGTTGGGACGAGGAGAAGCTTGAGGGCGGGTACCCCTGGGCGCAGTGCTACGGCGGCTTCCAGTTTGGGCAATGGGCCGGTCAGCTGGGTGATGGAAGAGCGATCTCGCTGTTCGAGACGACGAACCCGGAGACCAAGACCCGGTATGAGCTGCAGCTCAAGGGCGCGGGTATCACCCCTTACTCGCGGTTTGCAGACGGCAAGGCGGTGCTGAGGTCGAGTATCCGCGAGTTCGTCGTCTCCGAGGCCCTCAACGCCCTCGGAATCCCCAGCACGCGCGCGCTGTCTCTGACGCTGTTGCCCAACGTCAAGGTCAGGAGAGAGACGGTCGAGCCGGGTGCGATTGTGCTGCGCTTTGCGCAATCCTGGATCCGGTTGGGAAACTTTGATCTCCCCCGCGCCAGAGGAGACCGCGCCATGCTCCGTACGCTGGCAACCTACGTCGCGGAAGACGTCCTCGGTGGCTGGGAGAAGCTCCCCGCCCGCCTCGAGAACCCCGAGAAACCCGCCGACTCTTCCCTCCACGAGCCCGCGCGCGGCGTCCCGGCAACAGAAACCCAGGGCCCAGACGATGGAGCCGAGAACCGCTTCACCCGGCTCTTCCGCGAAGTCGCCCGCCGCAACGCCCTCACGGTCGCCAAATGGCAGGCCTACGGCTTCATGAACGGCGTGCTGAACACGGACAACACCTCCATCGCGGGCCTGAGCATCGACTTCGGTCCCTTTGCGTTCATGGACAACTTTGATCCGGCTTACACGCCCAACCATGACGACCACCTCCTGCGGTACAGCTACCGTAACCAGCCTACTATTATCTGGTGGAACCTTGTCCGCTTCGGCGAGGCGCTTGGCGAGCTCATCGGCGCAGGAGCCGGCGTGGACGAGGATAAGTTCGTCAAGGACGGCGTCGAGGAGAGCGAGTCCGAAGTCCTTGTCGGACGGGCCGAGAAGCTCATCATGCAGGTTGGCGAGGAGTACAAGGCGCTCTTCATGGCCGAGTACAAGCGCCTCATGACGCTGCGCGTCGGTCTCAAGAACTTCAAGGAAAGCGACTTTGACGAGCTGTTTAGCGGGCTGCTGGATACCATGGAGACCCACGAGCTGGACTTCAACCACTTCTTCCGACGTCTCAGCTCCGTCAAGCTATCGGATATTGCTACCGAAGACGCCCGCCGCGAGATGGCTGCGCGGTTCTTCCACGCCGAGGGCGCGACGACTGGCAGCGAGGCCAAGGGCAGGTCTGATGTCGGGAACTGGCTGGATAAGTGGCGCGCCCGCGTCGTCGAAGACTGGGGCGAAGACGGTCAGGATGTCGAGCGGGAGAAGGCTATGAAGGCTGTGAACCCCAACTTTGTGCCGCGTGGCTGGGTGCTTGATGAGATTATCAAGCGGGTTGAAAAGGATAGCGAGAGGGATGTGCTGAGGAGGGTTGTGCAGATGGCGTTGCATCCCTTTGAGGAGAGCTGGGATGGACAGGAGACTGACGGTCAGGAGTACAAGGGTGACAAGGCAGAGGAGGAGCGGTGGGTTGGAGATGTGCCCAAGTTGAAGAGGGCTATTCAGTGCAGCTGTAGCTCATAGATATATATATTCCTATTCACGACCTGTAATTGCTTCCGATGGGACCACATAATGGTATTATGACGCTGTTTTGAAATCGCTGACAATTGGCCGACATGGTGAAAGTCCAATCCGAAGTTTTACCACAATGTCCCCTTCCTGCTACGGACAAAACTTCTGAGAGCATATGACTAGGGGGATCTATAAGAAGCAGAGAATATGGAGAACAGACGTGGGGATAGTAATGATAGGAATGGAAATAAGAACGGGAGCTTCTCGAAATGTATCAATACAGAAACATATAGAGAATGGAGAGTTTAAAGGGGGAAAAAAATAGAACTAAATAGGATGATAAGTATAATAATGGAATAGAAACTAAGGGCACAACAGCAGCAAATCATCTTATCACCCACCTACATAGGTAGCTATGCGATTCGATCCCACAACACGTAAACAATGATCGATCCGGTGGCTTCACGCTGACAACAGAATTGATCCAAACGCCAGGCTGATTTTGGGACGACTGGAAGCAACATCGACAACGGCATCACGAGACACAAGAGATATGAAGGTATTTACTTTCTTCAACTGCCCGCCACTCTCTACCCGCGCGTGCTATTATATACAAGCAATGCATCCATCCCAAACAAAGGAACTCTCTTTTCTTCTTCATCTTCATCCTCCTCCCTCTACGGTCGTAGTCGTACAGTCTGTTCCTCATGCTCCGTACGCAATCTGGCCCATTGGCCTGTCCTCCTCCATGCCTGGTGCCATGAAGTTGGTCTTGGGGCTGCCACTGGCCTTGGCTGCAGAGCAGCGAGCCATTGTCGGTGAACTGGATGTGCGTGTTAGATATTTCTACCAATACTAGCAAGGGCGTCTTCTGAGCTGCATACCTTCTTGAGATGACGTCTGTGAAATAGAAGTTTTCGATAACCTTCTTCAATGGTGTACCGCTGGCCTTGGTGCCCTTGTTCTGGTCAACAAGCTGAACCTTGCTCAATTGCTGCAGAGCGACAGGCTCAACCACATCATAGGCCGCCAGGGCCGGGCTGATCTCGGCCATTCTGTCACGGAGCTGGGCAACGTCGTTGTAAGGCAGAGGAGCACCGAGGAACTCGCTGATGGCACGGGCAATCTTCCAGTCGGTACGGGAAGCACCGGGCAGGGAGGTGGCGGCGCGGGTCATCTGGACACGGCCCTCGGTGTTGATGTAGGTACCGGCCTTCTCGGTGTAGGCGGCACCGGGGAGAACAACGTCGGCAATCTGGGCACCGCGGTCACCGTGGTGACCCTGGTAGACAACGAAAGCGTTCTTGGGGATGTCCTTCTCAGAGATCTCGTCGGCACCAAGGAGCCAGACGAACTTGGGGGCGGTCTGGGCAACCTCGGTGGAGGGGGTGGTGAAGCCGACCTCAAAGGCACCGGCGCGGGAAGCGGCTCTCTGGAGAACGTTGTAACCGTTCCACTCAGGGGTGATGAAGTTAGCGGCGTTCTTGTCGACGAAGGCACCAATGGTCTCATAGAAGGCCTTGGCGTCAACGTGGTCAGTGACACCAGAGCCAACAACAATCATGGGGCGCTTGGCAGCCTGGAGCTTCTTGCCGAAGGGTCCGGCAAGAGCCTGCTTCAGGGCGGCGTGGTCGAGACCAAGATGCTCAAACTCGAAAGTTGAGTCCCAGGACTCGCCGACGACGCCGATCTCGAGGTCAGAGCGAAGCCATTGCTTGCGGATACGAGCGTTGAGGACAGCGGCCTCGTGGCGGGGGTTGCTGCCGACTATGAGGATGGCGTCAGCCTCCTCGATACCGTAGATCCGAGAGTTGAACAAGTAGTTAGAGCGAACGTCGACACCGTGGGCGACAGGCTTGCTTCCGTTGGGCATATCGAGGGCCAAGTTCTCGGAGCCGAGCTTGTTGGCGAGGTCCTTCATGGCAACCAGAGACTCAACCTCGGTCAGCTCACCGGCGATGACCTTGAATTCGTTGCCCTTGGGCTGGATGTGGTGGTAGGCATTGGCAACCTCCATGAGGGCCTGCTCCCAGTCGGCGGGCTCGAACTTGCCCTCACGGCGGATCAAAGGCATGGTCAATCTCTGGGTCTTCAATCCGTCGCAGGCGAAACGAGTCTTGTCGTTGATCCACTCTTCGTTGACGTCGTCGTTGAGTCTGGGAAGGATACGCATGACCTCGAGGCCACGGGAGTCGACGCGGATGTTGGATCCCAAGCCATCGAGGACATCGATGGACTCGGAGTGCTTCAGCTCCCAAGGTCTCGCGCGGAAAGCGTAAGGCTTCGAGGTGAGGGCACCAACGGGGCACAGGTCGATAACGTTGCCGGAAAGTTCGGAGTCGAGGTTCTTCTCAAGGTAGGTACCGATCTGGATGTCGTTGCCACGGCCGAAAGAGCCCATCTCGGGGGCACCGGCAATATCGTTGGAGAAACGCACACATCTTGTGCAGTGGATACATCTGTTCATGGAAGTCTTGATGAGGGGGCCAATGTTCTTGTCCTCGACGGCACGCTTGCCGCCAATTTCGTGGAAGCGGCCACGGTCGCCACCGTATCGCATCGACTGGTCCTGGAGATCGCACTCACCACCCTGGTCGCAGATAGGGCAGTCCAAAGGATGGTTGGCGAGGAGGAACTCCATGACACCCTCGCGGGCCTTGTGTGTGATGGGAGAGTTGGTCTTGACGACCATACCAGGCTGGACGGGCCATGCGCAGGAAGCTACGGGCTTCGGTGCACGTTCGACTTCGACCAAGCACATACGGCAGTTACCGGCAATCGCAAGCTTCCTGTTGTATTTGTCAGTCGGGGGTCATTCCTCGTGGCGGTCATCGAATCGATCGAAAAGGGCGTCGTACTCATGGTAACAATATCTGTTCAGGAGTTAATAAATGCCATACAGTTTGTTTATCGATGGCTGGACCAACCTAGGAATTGTGACGCCTGCCTTTTCGCAAGCTTGAATCAGGGCGGAGCCGGCTAGAAGATCGTGAGTAGGAATCCTCGGATGCGGCCACATTGCAGCTCACCTTCGACCGAAACCTTCTTTCCGTCTATAGATCTTGTCAGTAATCTTGGTAGAAACCAATTGAGCCCCTCGCAAGGGCGGGTTCGTCCTTACCAACAGTCAGTTCGACTTCGGCATTCCTGCGAGCTGTTGTAGCAAAAGTTCGCGAGGCATTGGCGGCCTGCTTGCCAGTCCGCCAAGCCGAACGTGCTAATGAATGCCGCAGCATCGTGTCGCCTTGACGGATTGAGAGTCTGACGAAACGGGGGAGGGCGTTTAGGTGAGAGGCGGGTTGATATTCAATCGTTGACGTCGGGAGGGAACTGCTCTTCTGTCCCGGACCATGGGGATTTGGTGGCGCTAGTGCGTAAATCGCGATTAATTTACATCAACCGTGATTGGTCGACCATCCCGGGAGCTTACTCGTCGCCTGAGGCAGCAAGAAACTCCGCTGAGCACCATTTAGTCTGCGGAAAATTTCGTCGCAGAGCGCCTCTTTCTCTTTTTCCTCTTCACTTTAAATTGTATGGACACTTATCGTAGGTGAGCTTGAGCTTCGCAAGAATGCTTGATCGAGCCTTCCTCTATCTAGTGTACCTAGATGAAGCTTTTTGACGCCGTTTATGGAAGCATGGGAGATTTCTTCAATGACCGCTGCCTCTTACCGCCGGTCGTTACATATCATGATGACGACGAGACTTAGAAGTAGATAGTTCGTGCATTTTTACGGATATCTCGTGATGTGCATGTACACTGCGTATGTATACGAAACGCCTGTCGGACTCATCGCCGTCATACGCCGGAAATCTCCCAATGGCGGCGATTTTATCGGTTGGCCATCCTCCTCAGGTCTGTGGTGGTCTAGCGCCTGTTGCCCTAGTGTCTTCATCAGATATTCCACCGATTGCGGCCCAAGCTACCTTTCGTCGCTTCTAGCTTCGAGCAGGCTCATCTTCGTGTCCATTATTGGCAGGCGATGCCTTGAGTGCATCGTTCAACATTTCCTGATATGCTTCTTTGAGCTCTTGAGCGTGGCCAGCGTATCCGTTCAGTTGACCCACAGCCTGGCCAGCATTGTAGAGTGACCATTGAAGTGCTGACGGTCTAGGAGGCATCACTTGTTGCGGCGCCTCGGGAGGCTTGTATGTAGACAGGTGCCGGTCGTTGTAATCGGCGCCGGGCGGTATCGGGGCATGGACTGACTCCATGATGAGTGCTTCCTCGCCCTGCATGAGACCCGCGGGCGTCTCAATGAAGCCCTTTTCCGCTTCCTCTTGTTCCGCTAACTTCAAGATGCGCTTGTGCTCTCGCTCATAGACAAAGACAAGGTTCTGCTCGACGGCGGCTGTATGTTTTTCGAGGTTCTTTTGGCCGAGCTTGATGCGCTCAATCTCAGTACCTGGAGCGTCGAAGGGATCGAAGAGGCTCTCTTCTAAGGGAACGAACATCGCCAGGGCTGGCACGGCTTGTTGGATATCTTCTTCCTCCTCCTCTTCGGTGTAATCGCCAGCAGTCCCTGTCTTCCCAGGTCTCTTCGACAGATCACCTGTTGTCTCTCGCATCTTGCCGACGAATCCTCCACCGTTATATAATCCTGTGTGTCCAGCTGGGCTTTGACCGCATTTCAGGTTGAGCTCGGAGTGTTGTGACCTGATCGCCGAATTGACTAAAATGATGAGGTAGGTGGAGGACGAAAGATTGAGGTTGAACTTCTTGGGAAGGTGGGACTAAGACTGTAAAGGTAAGTTGAGGTCCCACGCCTGTGATCGCAGTTTCAGGGTGGCTTCGAACTTACATCCCGGTCCTACTGCTTCAGCAATTGGCTCGAATCTCAATCGGCACGCACAAAAAAGATCAAGTCAAGTTTCGTCGCAGAGACTCTGTTCGCGTTGCTTCTTTCTCGCTTTTCCGTAAGGTAGGATGTTGAAGTTTCTCGAATCCGCCAGCTCAGTAAAATGTTCAAGTCGAGTAAAGCTAAGGTCAGTGCGGTGAGGTATGAGAGTGCAACGCTAAGTTTTTGTATTTACAACTATTTGCTATAGGATATCACATTTGTATGATCAAGCCGGTTCTAGCTCTGGACATCCCTTGAACGGATTGTTCAGTACAATTGGTTCCGGCCTCGTTAGCCTGAAGACTCAGCCAACTGCTGCATTCGGCTCAGCATGTGCAGCTGCTTTCCCATGTGATGGCTTTCTTTGAGAAATCATTTGGGGGTCATCCTGGTTTGACTGTCCATCTTCAAGGGATAGTTCTTTATCGTCGCCGTCCAGACTATTCCCTCAGTAAGGCCAATCCCCATGTTCAAATCAAAGGGGTGCCAGAATTCGGCCCGTCATGAGAGCATATGCCGATACTCCCAGACACACTTGGAAGCGTCATTGCTGTCGAAGAAGCCCCGAAGCTTGAGGAGCGAAGGGCAGAGAAGACACTCAACGGACTGGTGTCGCTACAATCAGCGAACAGCAGTTTTGTTGATCGAGCCAATGCCGTCTCAGTGGTCCTGAAAGCTTCGCCCTCCCTTACCGCCCGCGAGAGAGAATTGTCATCTGGCTGGTAAGACGTTCCTCACGTACTCCCGCATCAACTTCACCCCTGCCCGAACCAAGTCTTCCAGTCGCCGGTCCTTCCGCTTGCGCATCCACAGTAGGACGAAGGCTAGCAGCACCATATCGATAGCTAAATGTTTCATGACGATCCATGTAAACCATCGTAGCCAGGCTGGGAAGCTTCGTGACTTCTTGGACTTCCACTCTCTTCCTGTTGCTATTTGCTCTCGTAATGCTGCGACCTCGGCGGACAGCTTCTCAAGCGCGCGCTCCACACTCCGAGACCAGTTGCTACTCGGCACAAGCGCGTCCCCTTCATCGTCATCGTCGTAGCCTATCCTTCCGTCCGAATGTCTTTCTGCGGCATCGTCCTCGCTCATGGGGCTGAGAACCTTCAGGGGGCCTTCGGATCCGGCCAGGGGTGGCTGGAACTGCCGTAATTCGCCGGTGTAACCTGTGCCTTTCGGTGAAGAGTCGGTCGAGCTGGGGCTGTTGTTCTTGATCTGATTCCATACGAACTCGAGTTCCGAGACAAGTTCCTTTGCGTCTCTGTGGTGACGAGTCAGTGGGCTGCGATGCGCAAAAGGCGATTCCAGTGACAGTAGGATGAGTATATGGGCTTACGGCGTTGTCGCATATTTGTGCATCGTCTCGATCAGCGCCTCGATATATCTTCTCTTCGCTTCCGTCCGACTCAGTCCTTTCTGGAGGTTCCACGCATCCCACTTGTCTTTCTCGCGTTGAAGCTCGTCGGCTGGCATGCCGGAAGCCGAGGTCGGCCGCTCCATGACGCCATCGACATCCCCCTCCATCGCTTGCTTGTAAAGACCATAGAGTCGCAGTCTGTCGGACGGCGGGGGACGCGATGCCCCCGTTTTGGGGATTTTCTTGACGGTATTTAAGGCATGGACGAACACGCGATCTATAGACAGAAGGCATAATCGCATAATTAGCCGGGGAATTGCTCTCTCCACAACGGAGGCATAGTAAGGTTTTGCTTGCACTCACCCACGGAGTCAGCCATCTAGAAGGCTATTTCTCAAAGGCGGCCGAACCGATGTGATTAGTTGGTAAAGGGAGGGAAGACGCGTTCGTTTATGGGGGTATATCCGAGGTGTTCTGGCGTCGGGGTTGGGTTCGGCTCAACAACACCAGGCGAAGATAGCAACTCAGATAACCTTGTTCCGCAAATCACCTGGATGTGCCGGTAGAGCGAGGTACCTTGGCAGCCGGAACTGAAACGGAATGGGGAAGCAACAGGTGCTGGGAAAGGGAAAGAGTTAGAGATCCAGCACGCTGACATGCATTATGTGAGAGCTTCGCCATGGGACTCTTTCCCTTCGTCGCCCAAAGAGAAAGAAGGGATCTGGTGGGCAGCAAGAAAGTAGCGGCGGCGATGGCGGGTGCTGGCAATGATGCAAAGGTATTTCGGTACCGGCAATCAGCTGTCTCTAAATTGGGCCTTTAGGAAGGGCAACTGGGGGGGGGTTCGCGCCGATGTTAGCAGCATCGGAAGGTGTGGGCGATTTCCGGTAAATTGTGTTTGCCTCGGCCGCGGGTCACGCAACGCAACGCAGACGCAGCGAAGCCCGCGCATCGGCAACGCACCCGCGCAACCAACTGTGACCCCAACCCAGCACCACCTGGGGGAGTTTAGAGTGGACGTGGGACCTGGGCGCGCGGGCCTGACGCGGGCTTGTCAGGGGTTGTGCTTCTCCGAGATCCCGACTAGCAATTTACTCCCATCATCCCCGCGTCTTGTCTCCCTTGTGCGTGTGATTGAAGCTAGGTACCGGTAGTCTGCGGCATCTGCTTGTCGGCCGAGAGAGACATATAGGCACGTGAAATGCGGGCAGCCTTGGATGTGAGGGATGTTCCATTGTCGCTTGTTTGGTTTTCGTCCTCAATTTAGAGTTCCGTCAATTGAGACTTCAGTATAAGTTCTGAGCTGATATTGAGCCGAGGCCTACTGGTCCCAGCATAGCGTCTACGGATATGGAGGTCCATCGTAGTTCGGCATTGGGCAGCTAACTGGCTGTTTACTCATCTCGGCTTCTAGGTTGAGCACCCACACGATTTGTGTGGCTAACACTTCAGTGAACGTCCGAGTCGGAGTGCACCCTGTCAAGTGGGTGACACAATGACTTGCCGCCCAACACGAAGTATTTCTATCCTTCCTACCATTAACTTTTCTATCATTATTGTTATCATTATCAATTTCTATCTTTCACATGTTCTATATAGAATATATTGATATAGATATAATGATAATAATAGTAATCATAGGAAAAATAGTGGTAATAGGAATAGCAGATAGAGTGATAAGGTGGGTATTGAGCGGCATCCCATTTTGTCACCCACTTGCCTGTTCATCTGGTATTCTGATGTGCTCTATCTACCGGACCATCCTAAGAGCTGATTCCCGTATGCGTACCTTCGGACGTTAGCTTCCTCATTGGGTTGTGGCAATTTTATTATCATTCATACGCTGGCCACAAATTTGTGAATTGTCGCTTTAATTGAAAGTGGTATCATGGGTATAGTGCAACCGCCTCACTCTAACCTCGCCTACGTCTCCCCAAGAGCATCCAGGAAAGCCTTCTTTTTATCCTGATACACCTTCAACAATTTCTTGTTATTCAGTGCCATCTGCGCTGCCTTTTGGCCCGCCTCCTTCTTGTTTAGGTCGCTTCCGGTTCCGAGGAGCTTGTTCTTCTCGCCCCATCCGTCAAGAAAGACTCCTACGGTGAAGAGAGCCAGCTTATTGTTGTACTTGTCTTTCTTATTCGGCTTGGACAAGTCCTCGTAGCGGATATTGATGCCCTTTGCCCCGATAATCTGGCTCAGAAGCACCTTTGGGGGTAGTTTAGACTCCTCGGTCACAGTCGCGCCAAGCTCCTTGACTGTCTGCAGTCCGGGCGTCTTGGCAACCGACCTGATCTGGTCCTTGATGGTCGTTGCCCATAGTGTCTTGAGCCACTCTGCAACTCGAGTGAGACCATTGGTGGGATCGGAGAGAACCACGGCGGCGACGTATGCTTCGAATAAGTCACCGCGGACCTTTTTGATCTCATGTGGTTTTGCCACGGCCGGCTGGTTGCCTCTGGGCTTGAATTCAGGCGGCAAGTTGGCTCTTTCAAAAAGCTCGTAGTGCGTTGAGTATTCTCCCAGGTTGGCATTGCGAATCAGAAGCTCTCGGATCTGCGAGCACTGGCCCGTTGTCATGCCTCCAAAAGTTTGAAAAATGAGTGAAGACGAGATCAACTCGACATAGGCGTCTCCAAGCCACTCAAGGCGGTCGTAACTCAGATCCGATTTGTGCTTGGTCATGCCTACATGGGTGAAGGCCGCCAATTCCAGGACAGGATTCGTGATTTTAGGAAGAGGTGGCATTGACTTCGGAATATCTGCTGGCGTCCATGGCTTAACCAAGATGAAAGACGGGATTGGTGGCCCTGAGACAGCTGGGGTCTGCCTAGATGTAATTAGGGATTCGCCCTTCTCATGCGATGCATTTTCCTCCTTTGAAGTCAGTACACAATTGGACAACGCATCAAAGGGCATGAAAGCCTTTACCTCATTCTCATCAATCTCGCCGCTTTCTAGATCCTGTGTATCTCCTTCCCTAGCCAGCTCCTCGAAAGATGGCAGTAACACCTTGCTAAGCTGTCGGATCTTTTGCAAGTCTTCGCGATGTATAGAAGATCTTGTCTTCGCCTTTGTCAGTGCTTGGAGACATTTGATGAGACCATCGCTGTGATCGAGAAGCAAGTCTATTGCTTCGCTTTCAGTATGTCTTCGCTTGCTCGGTGGCAGCGCTCCTGAACTTGAGCGCTTGTTCATCTTGGTTCCTCCTCGATGCAGATAAATCGCAAATTGTGATCGAACAATATAATATTCTATTGTGTGTTGTGTCGCAAAAGAAGAAGATGAAAACAAGGCCGATAGGAATGAGCGTGTTTTGTTACAATGTTGAGAACAACGTCTTATTCACTTGAAAAGGTCAACATGTAATTGAGAACAAAAATTAAGCAGTCTATGCTCGGGTGGAGCTCACTGTGCTGTAGCTGCAAGGATCCGGTCCCCTGAGGCTAGGATGTGACAAGGTCGTGGATACGTACCGAAACATGCCGGCCAATCGATGATCCCAAACCGGCATCCAATTGGAGAACGCGGCTCTCATTTTGCGGGTCCAATTCAAGACTCAGGCTCGCCCAAGCTTGTTCGACTTCGCGACAAATTTCTGGCTGGTCTGATAGAGCTCTATCAAGACCTGCAAAGATGAGTGTCCCACGCGCGAGGTTGTTGGACCTCATGAAGGTAATTTACGATTCCCTGACTTGTCCGGTCGTTTGCTAATTTCTATAGGCCCAATGCGAAGTCTTTGCGACAGTATACAACCCCGAGGGACTGAGGACGGGAAACAAGATCCTGCGCCAACGATTGAAGGGACCTGCCATCGCCGACTACTACCCACGCAAGGTTGTGACGATTAAGGATGTGCAGAGAGAGTTTGGACCTGAGGTTTTAACCCTCGACTTGGAAGAGATGGATCGCTTGGAACACATTGCTGGGTACGTCATGGGCTGAAGGGGGCGAACGAGCTACCGCTAACGCCTGAACAGACTGAAAGCCAGAGGAAAGAGTGCGCCGAAAAAGAAGAAGACGAAGAGTAAGTTTTCTCGTTTGCTACCTCACATCTGGATGATGATGCTGATCTTCCTGCAGCCGAGCCCAAGAAGCGATAAGCGTCTACCACGAAATCGATTGTACGATACGATGTGCAACTATCGAGCGATCCCTCGAAACCATGCGCGCCAGGACACTCTCCATATACAGAGTGGCGAGGCTTTGGGCAGTACAATTGCCGACCGACCAAGTCAGCCCCGGTGGCTCTGTCATAATATGCGGATGTCTAGGGACTCTCAGGCACTGACAGGGTATGAATATACCGTGGATCACGGTTTCGACGGGCCATGGAAGGATGTCCATAAATAGGGCAGCCAGTGTACAAATACCATGGAGGATATCAGAGTCAAAATTTACAAGTCTCTTCGAGAGACAGCCCCATTTCATGTTTCCACTCACAATCACCATTGTAGATCCTAACTGAATGATTGCCTTGGGCGATAGGTGCTGAACGCCACTGCGTGCTGCGTGAAGCTAATCGCAAGTAAAGAAACAGAGGATCTTATACTTTCCTCCAGGTCAGAGGTAAACCCAACTGGTCTCTGCTCCGGATCGGCGAGTTCTCGTCCTATTGCCTTTGGCACATATAGATGAGCAAACGAGGGCCAAAGCAAATGCTGGGTCTTTCCGAAGGGTTGGTGGGAAGAATGGGGCAAGGCAGCAGGGGCGGTATGCTTTCTCCCCCAAGTTGAATATCATATGATGATTAGGCGACGCTAAGATAGGCAGTGGTGAATAGATAGAGGTCAGTCGGCCATGCCCTCCTCCTTCACCTGGATGATGGAGCGGGTCGACGAGTCTTTCACCTGTGGAAAGACCTCTCCGGTACCTGGGTACGCAACTCGAACGTCCTCGGCTACCTAAATCAGGGAGACTGCTAAATCTCAGCCGAGTCGCGATCTCCTTCCGACTTCAACATCTTCAATAAGAGCCCTTTCTTCCCCAGGCCAAGCAGCAGCGCATCACTCCTTCAACTTGGAACTGACTCCACGATCTCGTCTCTTTCAGATTATTCTGTCCTGGTCCGCAGTGGCTACGATTAGGGCTTTCGTTCACCTTACCTTCGAAAAGGTGCCTGGGCTGCCCGGTACTGCCTCCTTCCCAACGTCAACTCGAGCTCCTCCCTCGTTCCTACCTCACCTCCTCATCCCCCATCATCTTCTCACTCCCACCACAAAAAGCTTTTCCTTTCTCTACCCTCCACAATTCCTCCACAACAAACCTTCCCCTCCACCGTAGAGAAGATTTCCATCAACACTCTTCTTTGCGTTCCCCTCCAACGGAATCTTTCTCAACTTGTCGACCACCTTACGGCAATACCTTGTCTTATCTTCTGCAAAGTATTGACCCTCGAAGAAGAGACTGTCCGACGTCACGATGTCTACACCTCCCTCCACGGGTCTTATCCCCAAGACCCCCAAGCGAAGCTCCCCTACGGCTATGAAGCCTCATCAAAAAGAGGAGAACATCCAGCCGTCCATCGAGTCAGCTACCTCGGTAAGTCCAATGCTTTCTTCACTGCTGCCGTGAAGGCCCATCTTGTCGTTCGTCACCGACCGCTACCATACGATCCAACTGCTTCCATAAAAGCTCACTTGGTTAGAATTCTAGGCTAACAAAATTCAAAGGGTCTCCCTGCCTTCAAGCAGAAGCCAGCCATTGCAACTCTTGCTACATCCAAGCTTGCTAATCAGAATGCTCTCAAGGTTGGTTCTTCCTCCCGCAATCTGCCGCTTCGCTCACAGCGACGACAGAAGAAGACCAATCAGGACACCATCGCTGGCACGAACCCCATGGATATGCTTCTTGCAAAGCTGTCTGAGCAACAAGCTGCCCTCGATCAGCAGAACGAGGCTTTGAAGAACTCTGATGAGAACAGCTTATACTCCCGTCACTTCGACAAGGCTTCTTCGACGACGAACTCGGTCCCTATCACTCCCGCGACGGACTCGTTCCCCACGACCGCACCCACGAGTCGCCCGACCAGTGCCGCACTTAAGGAGACGAACGGTAATGTAGACGAGCTCCTTCGACTGAAGATGGAGCTTGCCCGAGCACAGAACAAGATCTCTCGCCTTGACCACGAGCTGGCTCAGTCGCGCTCGATCAAGCAAGAAGATGATATCGCTCCGGCTCCGCCCGTGGCTCGTGTAGGAGCATTCGGAGCCGAGAATGCCTGGCCAACCGACGACAACTCCTCGGATGTCGGCGCCCCTTCCATCAACAACTACAGTCGTTCCCGTACCACTTGGGGCAACAACAGAGCTCCTTTGTCCTTTGGTGCGGCTGCTCCCATTTCTGACTCTGGTGGTGATTGGTACGTTGGCGGACGTGGTGGCTTCAACCAGGGCTACATGGATCCCGCTGGTCCGTACAATATGGCGGATGGTTATCGCAATGATCGCATGGGCCATGAAGCCGAGATGTTTTCTCGGCCCCCTAGCAGTCGCCGAAACAACCGTTTCGACAACAGCCGCTGGCCATCTCCTCAGCCGTACGGAGGAACCAACTTTGGACACAACTATGGCGGATTCACTCCCTCCCCTGCTCCGTTCGACCCTATGGGTGGACCTCCTGGTAGCGCTTCAGGCAACATGGGCTCGGGAATGTATCTAGGCTACAACCAGCAGGGACCGGGAAGTTCACTGTCGCCCCATGCAACTGAGTTCACCACTGGTGATGGATGGAAGAGCGAGGTACGTAACAATGAGAAGGCAGGATCATTGCTACAAAATACTGACTTTCCATTCCAAACAGGCCATTGCCACCGAGGGTCAGACGTACCTGCCAACTACTGAGCCTCTCAACTACCGCCGCTTGTTGGACCGGAACGTCAATTGCAATTGGAAGTACATTGTGGACAAGATTGTCTGCAACAACGACCAGCAGGCTTCCATTTTTCTGCAGCAGAAGCTCAAGGTCGGCACTCCGGACCAGAAGTACGAGATCGTGGAGGCCATCGGTGCCCAGGCGTATCCTCTCATGGTAAACCGTTTCGGCAACTTCCTTGTTCAGCGTTGCTTCGAGCATGGCACTCCGGAGCAGGTTGTTAAGATCGCGGAAGCCATCCGCGGCAACACTCTCAATCTTTCCATGGACCCATTCGGCTGCCATGTCGTTCAGAAGGCATTCGACTCCGTTCCCGAGGATTACAAGGCTATCATGGTCCATGAACTCCTTCGCAGAATTCCCGAGACCGTCATTCATCGTTACGCCTGTCATGTCTGGCAGAAGCTTTTCGAGCTTCGATGGTCCGAGTCCCCGCCCCAGATCATGAAGTTCGTCAACGAAGCTTTGCGAGGCATGTGGCACGAAGTCGCTTTGGGCGAAACTGGCAGTCTGGTTGTCCAGAACATCTTCGAGAATTGTCTTGAGGAAGACAAGGTATGCTGGCACCCTCTTGCCCTCTTTTCTGAACATGCTTCTCATCGTGTATTCATAGCGTCCCTGCATTGAGGAAGTCCTTGCCAACATCGATATTGTGGCTCATGGACAATTCGGAAACTGGTGTATCCAGCACATCTGTGAGCATGGCGCTCCAGCGGACCGAAGCCGTGCTATCGACCATGTCATTCGCTACGCTGCCGAATACAGCACTGATCAGTATGCCTCTAAGGTTGTCGAGAAGTGCCTCAAAATTGGCGGTGGGGAGTTCCTCAGTCGCTATCTTGATCGAGTCTGCGAGGGTCGCGTTGACCGCCCTCGTATCCCCCTTGTCGACATTGCAAGCGACCAGTACGGCAACTACCTCATTCAGTACATCCTCACACATGCGGGTCTGCAGCACCGCGAGGTTGTCGCCGCCCACATTCGCAAGCACATGGTCTCTCTTCGAGGCTCCAAGTTCGGATCTCGTGTGGGCATGCTTTGCACCAACCCCGCCGTCGCTACTCGGCCCGGCCCCGGAGTTGGTCCTGCCATGAATCGAATGGGTGCTGGTCCTCGCTACAGCAGCGGTGGTGGCGGCTACCGTTAGACTTTGTCACCATCTCTCCATACTGTCACCATCAACTTCTCAATTGTTCTCATTCTGCGTCACTATAGGACCTCTTTCCCTTAATCCCTTATCCCCCATCCGATTTCCCTCAACTTTGACGAAGTCATTGCACCACCTCATTTGTCCGTGCTTACGAAACATCTTCCTCGGCCATCAATTTACAAATCAGCTGTCATCCTACGCTTGGCAGGTTATGGCTTGTCTGAGTGCATTGGACACTTCATGGTTACGGATTTTGCGATATGGAGGTGCGTCAGTGTGACCTCGAAACCCCAAGTGGTCGTTGGAGTTGCATTGCGAAGCCCAGCCAAAATGCTCGCATCTATACATGGCGGCTCATCGACACATCCACATACCCCTTTGATACTCCTTTAGTCTCATCGAAATTCGAACTGGACCTACCGGAGGATGGCGAGGATGGACAACTAGGCAAGCATGGCATATCAGACCAAAAGTCAAAGACAATGATTGTATGTAGTTATGTATCACATTCCGGAGACTTTGGAGTGCGGCCTTGGTCCAGCTTGGACAGCATCTGTGGCAGTCCCAACAAGCATTAGGTAGTTACCTTGCAATACTATGCTTGACGCCATTGACTCTGCGGTACTTCACCAGCATTATACCCCTATACCCTTTCCCCTCCCCTAATGCTATTTACGTTTCCTAGTAAGCCCCACGTGATGCTCATCATGCGTCGCTTTACGTCTTTTTGCTTACAGGCTCTGCCTCTGCTTCAGGGGACGCGGCATCATCCAGGGGCGGAAATTCAGAGTCGACTACAGATGGCTTCTCCGTCGTGTCTACAGTCGCGATGTCTTTCTCCCACGGCTTCTTGGGCACCGCACGTTTCCCAAACGGTTTCACAGACTGCAGAATTCAGTGAGTGGGCTCAGAGATAGAGGAAAAACAAAAGACAAGTCGTGGGGAGTACTCACCGCGTCTCTGACGACGGTATCTGGGATCTGCCTGATGCCAGGGATGGGAATACCCTTTTGAATCATCTCCAGCATCTGCGCGAAGCCCATTGGGTACGCTGGTTCGTCGCCCCCTTGGCCTGGGGCGCCCTCCTGTGGCGGCTGTGCTTTGCGTTCGACGTAGAGGTCTGCTTTTGGCGCTGCTGCTTGCCATGAGGGCGTTGTTTCATCTACAGGTTTTGTGGATGAGTCTGTTGCTGGATCTGTGGATGTCTTCTCGTTGGTGCTGAGGTCGTCGAGCTTCGATGTTAGTGTTGGGACTTCATCTGTTGATGATTCTGCTGCTCCGCTGGCTGCGGTAGCTGTGCTGGCTGTGCTGGCGGTCTTGTACTCTTCGGGCAGGACGTCGGGGGGTGTATGGTCCGGATGCTTCGCGAGCCACTCCTTGTACTTTGCAAAGTCAATGGTTACGCCGATGCGTTGGGCGTAGTAGAATGTCCGGGCGTGGATCGCTAGGTCGGTGGGTGTGCCTTGGGGGTTTTCTGTGTTTGGGTCACCGAGGATCGCGTAGAGGCCGGACTGTACGACGTTCCCTTCGTTAAAATCCTTCTTGGAAGATTGGCATATATAGAGAGTCAACGTACTGTAAACATCTTATCTCGCTTCCAGGGGTATGTGTCAAAGGCCTTGAACATGCCGTCCTCGTCTGTGATTGCACGGATGCGCTCTGCGCCGGAGAGGGTTGCCATTGCCAATTGCAGTTGTGGTTATGCTACGAAAGTCACCAGGCAAAAATGCCCCTACTATGCTGGATTTCAGGGAGGAGATACTGTGGGCGGACTCGAGGATGCTCTTCGTCTCGTCGATTGACGTCGTTGCCGAGGTTTTAAGACGTCGTTCGGTTTAAGCATCATTCCCCGGAGAAGGGAGCTCGGCGGGTTGGCGGGGCGCGAGCTTGGCTTGCTCCCGCCGATAAGATAAGCCCAAAATGTACCCCGCGAAATCGCGGCTCGGTGGGGCCCGGGCGGGAGTTGGGGAGTTTGGGGAAGGCTTCTTGGCTTGTAGGAGTTTGTTCCGACATCCTTGCTTTTTCTGTTGGAACTTCATCAGCGTTGATTCCTCTGAAGAAATTCTTCTCATTGGTCTTATTTGGGGGTTCCCCCGATGATAATGAGGTTGAGACCTCCTTTCTGATGGGTTAGTACGTCTGACATGTGAGAAACCATCCACTGGTAGTGTACTGGTACGATCAAAGATCAACAACACGACAGAGACGACACACGCCTTCAAACTGACAGAGGTTTTGTACATCTTGATTGCTAGATTTCTTTTCTATCTCAAATATATGTCACGGGTTGTCTACGGGCACGCTGACGATCATCAAGCGGCAGAACCTTCTACGGATATGTTTATGTTATGTGAACGGGATGAAGACTATTGCGCAGCACTGTACTGGCCCCCGTTTCGCACAAATCCCAAAATCATGAAAGAAACGTTTAAAGTCGCAAACAGTAAAACGGACAAGTGTAACCCATCAGACATGAAAGTTTTGTGTGTATAGCAAAGCCACCCCTTCGGGTCCGCTGTTCCGCTGTACAAAGAGCCTCCATCTTACGAACGAGGTTCCAAGTATCTTGTGTTTTTTTGTGTAGCAATATGGCTAGCCAAACGGGGCTGCCTATGGTTTGCATCATTTCCAATGGGAAACGAGCTGGTATGTCGTGGAAAGTTCGGGTCAAAGAGAAAAACGTCTAGAATGTCCATGGCGTAAGAAAAGACGCCACACTCAACCCACCCCCTGTGCTGAACGCCTGTAAAACAACACCAACGGTTGCGGAGATTCCCTAGAAGCAGTTGGTGGAATCCAATAAACCCTCCGATGCAAAAGCCGATGTTTCTTTTCGAACGCCGTGTGATGATGCTTTTAGTTGTGCTGGAAAAGGACGCTGATCGACTCGCCGTGGTGGACACGACGAATAGCCTCCGCAAAGACTGGAGAGACTGCCAAAATTTAGCTACGCCCAGGACACAGCAGTACTCGCGAACACTCACCGTCCAGGAACTCGAGTTTGGGGCAGGCACGCATGTGGTCCTTCTGAGGAACGGTGTTGGTCACGACCATCTTGTCGATGGCGGATGCGTTGATACGTGGGATGGCATCACCACTGAGAATGCCGTGGGTCAAGAGGGCATAGATGTGAGTAGCACCCTCCTTCTTGAGCAACTTGGCAGCTCTCGTAATGGTGTTGCCGGTGTCGATGAGGTCGTCAACGAGAATGCAGACCTTGTCCTTGACATCACCCACCAGCATCATGCTGGCGTTGCGCTGCTCGGTGTACTTGGTCGGGCGTCGCTCCTGTAGAAAAAAGAACATGAATTCTGTACTTGCTCCCGCGAGAAGTAATGACCTACCTTGTGGATCAGGGCGAAAGCCATGTCCAGCTCATCAGCGATCGCAGTGGCGCGCTTGGCTCCGCCAGCATCGGGACTGATAACCACAGCATCCTTGTAGTTGGGGATGTTCTGGCGGATGTACCTCATGAGGAGAGGCTTGCCGTACAAGTTGTCGACCGGGACATCGAAGAATCCCTGGTACTGAGGATCGTGGAGATCCATCCTGCAATCATTAGCATGTGCTTCGAAGGGAAGCAATGAAGCGGTGCAGGTGCAAAGAGCTTTTGAAGAGCTCAAGAACAGTTCAAAGCAGTGGCCTTTACGTAGCACAAAGCACCACATCAAGGATGATGGAGGAGGAAACCTACGTGATCTACACTTTATTAGCTTGACTTCGCGAACGGTTTGACCCCCTTTAAGTGCTCTCTCAAACTATTCTAGGGGGCCTTTTGGGGGTACATACCACATGGTCTGCACCAGCGCAAGCCAGAAGGTCTGCAACCAGAGTACCAGCTTGGGCAACCCACTGCTTGTATCCAGGCTTGGACTGGAAGCCATCGATCCGATTCTGTTGCTCGTTGTCGTGGTTGGTGTAGCTGACCTGAGAGGATACAGAATCGTGGTGGTGACGGCCGTTGCCATTGGTCTTGGAATGGTCGACGCCGTTCATTCCATTGGAACGCTCCTCATTGAGCTTGCTCTTCGCCAGCTTAGAGGCAATGCCGTCAATGCCATTGGGAAGACCCATACTGCGCGCAATGCCAGGACCCGGGGTCGAAGGTACACTCTCAAAGGTGTAGTTCTTGGATGCCCCTGATGCTGACTTCGAGAGGGGTGCGCCGGCCTTCTTGTAGGGGACGTCGGGTTGTCTCGAGTAGGGGAACAGAGGCATGACAGCTGTGACTCTCTTGGCAGAACCCGTCTTGCAGGCAGAGATCATGATGCACAAGTCCATGAAGTTGTCATTGACATTGCCAGAGGCAGTCTGAATGATAAAGACATCCTTGCCGCGCACAGAGTCCTTGATCTCGCAACGACTCTCTCCAACAGAGAACTTCGACAGAACGCGCTCGCACGGGTTCAGGCCAAGGTTGTTGCACACGCTGTTAAGGAGCTCGGGATGGGAGTTGCCTCCGAGCACAATGATATTGCGGACCATTGTGAATAATTGCTGGTTGCTCGAGAGGTAATGGTTGGAATGTAGAGTAGAGTAATAGTGGTCGGGCGAAACCGGCGATGTTGGAGGCTGAACCTAGCACCGATCGAGGGTTTGACTAGGGACTGAAGAGAACAGGGCGTCAAGGCCGGACCTGGGAGATGTATTTCGCAGCTGGGGTATTCGAAGATGTTTGTGGAGAAATGTACCCCGGGTATTTTTTTTGAGGGTTCGAAGGTGTCGTGTGCGGGTTGGAGGATCGCGAGCGAAAGAGCCGGTGTCGGGTTTGCTGGAGGCGTCAAAAATCTGCTAGTGGGGTGCAAGGCGACGTCACAGGGACTGGAATGTGCCGAGGCCGAGGGTATGCGTAGAAGGGAATTGTATAGTAAAGATGCCAGAGAGCTGGAGAGCAATCAGCGAGGATGAGGGGAAGGCCTCTAGAGATGCGATCACAACGGGAGCATGACGAACAAGCTCAAGAGGAGAGGGAGGAGGGAGGAGGGAAAAGCTGGTAGCGGGGGGGAATTTCTGTCTGAAGCTGGGGTTGTCGAGAAGTTGTAAAGGAAAATCTCTGAGTGGATAAGTTTGTTTGGGATTGGCAGGAATCGGGGTCGGGTGCGGTCGCCGCCATGTGGACTTGGGGGTGGCAGGTGGGAATATGAGGTGGTGGGGTAAAAAGAGAGATTGCACAGGGCTCTCTCACAGGGCGTATAGGTGCAGAAGTAGCCATTTTAGGTTAGCACGGGTAGTTTGCCGCGTTTGTATGTATTTTCATGACTCCGATCTCTGGCAAGTCTCGCAGAGATTTTGCGCCATGGCGACGTCCTAGCTAGCCATGCACTGTATTCTTACGGTCGTTGCCATGCTGCCCAGACACCATGCCGAGCCTCACGAAGAGTGCCGCAGACCGGTGACGGAGATGCCTGAAGCGATGCGAGAGCGGTGACGGCGGCGGGAGACACAGGTGACTACCTAGGGGCGAAGTACAGTGTCGACAACTGACTTCGTACAGGGAGGATTGAATTGCTTTGGATTCGTGGAACGCTGGAATGTAGTAGTGACTCCCGGTCTTGTTCTCATTCTGACTGCGATGTGCCGAATGAGGTGGACATTCTGCAGTCCCCTTGTCAAAAAGTCTAGGTGCCTCGTGATTGTACGGATAATGCAGACGGATGGGAGTATATGCCTCTTGGATGTACATCCAGAAAATAGCGCTCTTTGACGATGCCATTGAGGCGGGAAGGAGTACCTGGCGAATCTCACATCCCCCTCGCTACCTTATTAGTGTAAGATAGCACTGTAGTTATTCAAACTCCGTTACAAGGAGTGAAATAACGCGAGTAACCGACCGGCTCTTATGAACGAGGATGAGAGAAAGCGGCCAGCGGCCAGCGGCCAGCGGAGACGCCTTCTTCGAATCTGAAGCCGCCAACGCCAACGCTCTTTCCCCCTCCCATTGCGCAATTCCAGATCCGGTACGTACGCTGTGACAATTTGGCACATGGCAGAGTGGGGGACGGGACATCGTGATTGGTGCCTTGGGCCGTGTTAATGCACCTGCTTTTCTGCTTGCCTTTTTATCTCCCTGCAGCTCGTTGCCAACCGTACCAGCCTTCGACTGCGGGACACTTCCACTGTCAAGAAGAATTTGCGGCAGCATCGTACCTCGCCTCGTACGCCTAGATTCCGTACAGTCACAAGTGTAATTCTTTTTACGAGATTACACAGTACCTTGACAGCATCTGACTCTTCTCAGAACTTGATTCGAGGCGACCCGACATTTCCTTGACAGGCCCCAAAGGTAGAGTCAGTCACAACGCACCAGTCACCCGCCTTTGTCAAATTAAACGTCAGCTTGTCCAAGGTTGTACCACTTGAACAGTCTATTCCCGGCCCTCTGAAAGAGCACCTGCGAGGTTCTGTTTTGAGTGACAGGTACATCGGCCTAGCCTCTTCACCTTGCACACCGACACGTCAATTTTCCGCAAACACCAAGCTCCTGCGCAGCTTACATTTCTGCACTCATTTTTGGGCCGATACGCAATTGCCGCCGTTGCCACCTGGTATCAAACGGTTTGCATCACACCTTGTCTTCTACCCTGAAATCGCAACCTAGTCGTCCCCGCGCCAAGCACGCAATCAAGATGAAGATCCTTGAGGCTCAGTCGGCAGTTTTGACCAACTATGAGGTCTATCAACACCTAAATGAGCGTAAGCTTGGTCAGAAGAAGCGTGAGCGTGGAGAGCGTCGTGGCCCCGGCAACCTGGAGGCACTGGCAAGAGAGGTGAGTTTGATTACATTCAAGTCACATATGCAATGGAAATTGGGTATCTGCTCCTCTGTAATAAACTCATGGCTGACGCATGTGTAGCTCCTCCAATATCTGCGGACAGCACCAAACCCGCTCAGCCAGGACCCTATTCCTTATCACCAGAATTGTATTACCCAGCTGCTGGAGAAGCTTCAGCCCTATGACTTGGCCAAGGGTGAGGTTATCATGATCCTGAATCTCCGCCCAGCATCCGTCGCCGCTCTAAACACCGTCATCGAAGAGATGCCTGAGCGCTTCGATGAGAACCAGCAAGAGGAAATGGTCAACATCATTGCCGAAGTGCTTGGCTCATTCCCCCAGGAGGCAGAGGCGGAAGAAGGCGCCGAGGAGGCTGCGAACGGCGCTGCTTAGAAAGCTTTGCCGCATCACACTTCGCAACTCACTCTTGACGGCGCCGATTCCTCTGATGTGTCCTCTTCTTCCTGGAGTGGAATAAAAGAGTCGCCCTGACAAGGCAACGAATCTCACATGGCGACACAACCGCCCTCGCTCTGTCCTCCCTCGGCCTTTCGCGTCATAATTGCGGTCTTACCAATCTCCTCAAACGCCAGCTTAAGCAGCTCGCCCGTCACCGCGGAGCATTCCATGTACTTGTCTATGCGAATCTCCTGCGCCTGCTGGTATGCTTCTTGGGGATAGATAATCCCATTGGGGTCGTCTTCGGATCGTAGGTCTCTTTTGAGGCCCAACATGAGAATAGGCAAGCGGTCGGGCCTACGGAAGGACATCTTGACCTCTGGTAGCCACTGTCTCGGATGTCAGATGGGACACAGAGAGAGTAGAGAGTCATTCAGGGGAACATACATGTCTCCTCATGTTGATGAGACTCAGTCGCTGGCTTATGTCGTAACACAGTATGACGATGTCCGGCTCGAGAAGCTTCCAGTTCTCGGGGCTATTTGTATCATAAAACTCTAGACGGTACGGTTTTCCAGAAAACTTAATCTCGAAAATAAAGGGTTGGTCAATATCTCTGAGCAATCTGATGGGGCCGGTGCCTTCGCCGGCGCTCAGTCGTCTACTCAGGGGCACATCTCATTAGCAAGTGTGAGACCCATGGCATGATCTCGAAAAAGGGCATACGGACGAGAGAAACGACGTCTTTCCACATTTCTCATCACCAACTAATAGTATCTTGACTGCTTCTTCTTCCATAATGGACGGGTGCTTCGGTCGACTTCCGATGGGACGTCTAGATACGGATGTCTGGGGAACAAATGGCGCAGGGCCAGGCCTGGCGCGGACTCAGCCAAGACTCCAGCACAGAAACACAGTGCCCATTATTCAACCGCGCCCACTGGTCCCGTCGCAACGGTTCGGCTTTCTCCATGAGGGAGAGGAGAAGGCGGAGTCAGTTTTTAGCCACAGCACAAGCCACATCTTGTTTTCTACAGGGCAGGACAGAAAAAGTTGATGGTAGCCAAAAAAGAAATAAAAAAAATAAAAAATTGGCTGTCACTCAACTTGCATGCGCCGGCCCCTCCAAAGTGACTCTTTAGAGGGCCAAAAGTACCCGCATGATGCCGGTCCACGTCTAAACCGCACCCGACCCCTCCAAAATTTCCTAGAAACTCATATGAGAGGAGAAAGAGAGGGCATATGAAGCCCTTACATGAACTGTTTTGGGGTCTCTGTCTGCATTGCCCGCCAAGCCCGAGTCTGAACCTATCGAGGCACGCTGTAGGCCTATTACACGGCTGCTTGAACGGTTTGCCCGTCCTCGCCCATCGACGACGACACCACCACCATCTGCGTCGTTTCACTACTCAGCAACATCTCACTCATCCTTACCAACCATCCTCCACAACCGCGGCTAGGCACTTCAGCACCGCTCCCGTCGCAAAAATGGCTGATGTGAGCGGTCGGTACGAGTCATGGGACCAGGCGCGTCTCATCTCCCGCATAAGACAGCTCGAGCATGAACTCGACAAGCGGGATGCGGCATCAAAGGCCTCCGGGTCCGGGTCCGGTTCCGGGACCCCCATCAACAACAAGAACGGCGCCAGTGCCGTAGCAGCAGCAGCAGCAGCAGCAGCAACGGACGGGGCCCCGCCGGTGAAGAAGAGGAAGAAGGAGGCCAAGCGGATCGACTCGTCGCGGTATTCCACCCGTTTCATCGCGCTGAAGCTGGCGTACCTGGGTAAGCGGTACGGAGGGTTCGAGTACGCCACTTCGGCGAGTCTGCCCACGATCGAGGGCGAGCTGTGGAACGCTCTCACGAAGTCGTGTCTCATCTTCCCCGAGGATCAGGATGTTGTCAACTTTGACTGCTGCGAGTACTCCAAGTGCGGAAGGACGGATCGCGGCGTGAGTGCTTTTGGGCAGGTCGTCGGTTTGAGGGTACGGAGTAACAGGCCGGTGCCCAAGAAGCAAGAGACTCCTGCACCGACCGCTGAGACGGAGGGTGATACCCCCATGGAGGGCACGGAAAAGGTCGAAGCAGAGGAAGAGAAAGAGAAGAAGCCCGAGAAGGTATGGGACGAGATCAAGGACGAAATCCAATACGTCAAAGTCCTCAACCGCCTCCTGCCCGACGACATCCGCATCATCGCATGGTGCCCCTCCCCACCACCAGACTTCTCGGCGCGCTTCTCCTGCGAGGAGCGCCAGTACCGCTACTTCTTCACCCAGCCCGCCTTCACGCCTACGGCGACCACGGTTGACGGCACGGGCAAGGCGGACGGCATGAAGGAGGGCTACCTCGACATCGACGCCATGAACCAGGCGGCGCAGAATTTCATCGGCACGCATGATTTCCGCAACTTTTGCAAGGTGGATGGGAGTAAGCAGATTACAAACTTTGAGCGGCGCATGTTTGAAGCGGGCGTCGAGGAGGTCAAGGACGTGGGGACCGCGCTGCCGTACTTGGGTGCTAGTGCCGTTGACGGAAGCCAGCTTCCGAAAGTGTACTCGTTTAATATCCGCGGGACGGCGTTCCTGTGGCACCAGATCCGGCACATGGTTACGATCCTCTTCCTCATCGGCCAGCGCCTTGAAACTCCCGACCTCGTGACGCGGTTACTTGACGTGGAGAACACCCCGCGGAAACCAAACTACGACCTCGCGCACGAAACGCCGTTGGTACTCTGGAACTGCGTCTTCCCGGGCGACGACGAGAGCCGCACCTCCAACGACGCGGCCAACGCCCTCCACTGGGTCTACGGCGACGCCGACGTCGTCGAGAACCTGTGGTCGCACTACCGCGAGAAGAAGATGGACGAGCTGCTCGCGAACCGCCTCCTGGACCTCGTCTCGAGACAAGTGCAGGGGACGGAGGCGAAGGCCAAGGGCAAACGGGTGTTCCAGGGCGGGCACGAGGGGAAGTTGGCGGGCGGGTATGTGCCGATTGCGAAGAAGCAGCTGACGCCCTCGCCGGCGGAGATTAATGACCGGTGGGCGCAGCGGAAGGGGTTTAAGAACTCTGATGCAATGAGGGAGTCGAAGAATTGGCGGAAGGTGATTAAGGATGCGAAGCAGGCTGCTGCGGCGGGGGATGGGGATGAATGAGTAGAGGCCGTGGGTATATGCTCCTCACCATTCAATATAAATAAAAGTAAAGAGGCTTTGAGAAGATCATGAATTCGTCAAGGCTACTGGGGAGATTTCATACCCCGTTCTGCCATCTATCGTCCATCTTCCTATTACTACTCCCACCATCCGCTTCCCAAAGACACCCCCTTACACCTCTCCATACCGTCTCCACAATCTTCTTCTTCGGCAATATCCTTGGAAACACGACTATAATATCCTCCTCTCCCTCGACAATGACGATAAGATAGTACCGCACCTCGAAGCCCCTGAACGCCTCATTCACTAGCACATCCTGGATCTTCTCCGTAGGTATGAACCGTGTCGCGGCCGCCGACAAGTAGCTCCCACTCGTCGAACTGGTCTGTATCCCCAACCCGCGCAGCACGAGCAGACTCTCGGTGGTATGTGTGCGCTTCAGCGTCGCGTAGGCCGCGAGCAGACACCCCGGTACCAGGACGGGCAGTGGTATCGCGTGGGAGGCAGCGACGGCGTGCGCCAGACGGCCTGGTGCGGAGGTGCGTATGAAGAGGAGGATCTGCCAGAGCGTTGCGCTCGAGAAGAGGGCGTCTGGGCCGTCGCGCGTGGTGGGCTTCGCTCTTGTCGGTGATGCGGAGAGGAGGGTCGCGGCGTAGGGTGATTCTGACAAGGCGGCCTGGAGGAGTAGGATCGAGGAGAAGAAGAGCAGGATGCGGAGGGTGAAGAGAAGGCCTGAGAGGACGCGGACTGCGAGGGTTGGTGGCGGGCGGGTTGTTACTGTGAATTCGGCTGTCGTTGGCGAGGGGCGCCGGACGTGGAGGCGGGGGGTCGTTGTGAGCATCGTGAGGTTTTGGTTGTGGGTGATCTACTGTGAGAAGTAGAAGCTCGAAAAGCGAGGACGGTAGGGAGCTGCTATTGTGCCATTGAGGTTGCGCTGGTTCGAAAAAGTTTGGTGGTTCGCTCGGGGGGAGTTGGTGAGAGCTTCGCAGAGCCAAAACCCCTGGGCGCATTCGCGACGTCAACTCGGACGAGGATTGCAAGCTGGGGTGATGGAAGCTTAAGGTAGATCGGTGCTCGGTGGAGATCCTCGCCAGCGCGTTGAGTGGTGTGCATGTTCCCTTGGGCGCGCAGCTGGGATCCGGCTGCTTACCTCATCAACCCCACCACTCCCGCCAGCCCTGGACCCTACTTTGTCTATAATTTTGTTCGGAATTACCGGCTGTAATGGTCAAATGGTTGAAGGCTTTCATTACTCTTCTTCCGCTACCCCATCCACATTGGAACCCCTCAGCGGCGCCCAGTGCGAATGCTGCGGTGGCCACCCACTCGCACGGGTAACCTGCGATCGCTGCGTGTGGCCCTAAGCAATGAAGATGACACTTGAGGGAGGCTTCACTCTGCAGAGGCATCTTCACCGTCGCATGGCGTGCTGGATTACGATCGCTGGGGGCTTGGGGTAGTGGATGAAGATAGAGATATCGACTCCAAGTTTTGATCTTTTTTGACAATTCTGCTGATTGTTTGTTTCCATTGGCATATTGGAATGAATGGACTGACTGATGGATGCATGCGCATAGCGTTTGCGGCCGTCTGATTGCTTGCGTTCGCGATTATGATGAACGCTTGCTGTGTGAGCTGTATTGGCGATGCAATTTGTGGTGTTTGGAAGTACCTTTTTGGGCACAGTCCGCCTTGCACATGGTTCAACTCCAGTCGACGGCAGAAGCTTTTTTCATTTTTGCGCCTTTTCCCATGGGCCAAACCCAATTAAACTGCCGTGTTCACTGTATTGGTGTTCTCATATCACATTAGCAATGTCTCAGTAGTCTTTGAATCAGATTGCATTTTTCTCAATATTCAGCCTGTACATGGCCATCTCGACGAGCAAGCTACATAGCCATCACCCCCAGCTCAAAAAGGAAAACACCAAACATCAGTTGCAGGCCAGTCAATGACTTGGAAAGCAGACTGAAAAGGAAAAAGTTGAAGAAATGAAAAGAGGCGGGGAAAGAAATTCCCGCACCCCTTCAACTAGATGAACAAAGATGCCGTGAGGCAACATTGTAAGACACGCGTTTCCAGCACTTTTCGGTCCCTTTTCACCCAACCCCTCCCCTTCTCTTCTCTTTCTCTCGTAATACTTCGCTGGCGCAAGACGGTGTCATCTTGAAAACCATCCAGCTTTTTCTGTTTTTGTGTCTCCCCCAGCGGCGTCCGTCCATTCCATAACGTACATGGCCGCTTTCCCGCTACAGGTATCGTGTGTTCATGTGTATTGCCTCGCGGCTCTGCCCCGAAATTCCAAGATCCAGCCATCATCAGTCATCATTTGAGAAGTTAAGAATGCAAACAAGAAATGTGATGAAAAAAGTAGAAAAAAAAATCGGAGAGAAAAATGGTGTTCGCTCCGTGGTCAATATTCGTCGTCAGGGATAGACTCGAAGTATACAAGAGGCGGCTTCTAACTGCTGTTGTTGTGCTTCTGGCGGCCAGAGAGTTGCCGCGCTGCAAAAGGTGTTCGTGTTCGTCTGTCGTAGAAAAAAGTAATGGTATCGAGATTCATCGAAAAAACGCCTGTCGCCATGCAACGAATCGAAACGTGACGTGTAAAGATAATTAAGGGGTTGGGGGGGAGGGTTTGCAGTTTCACAGCAAGAAGATCATATCAGATCATCTCGCTGTGGTGCAAGCCAGTAGGCAAGCTCTTCTGCGCCATGGCGGCGGGAGACCGCATCGACTCGCGACCATAGTTCACTGGCATGGGGACGCTCTCGTAAGGGGCGTATTCGTACTCCTCCTGACCGCGAGGCCGCGCCGAGGGCTCCTTGCGGTTGCGGCTGCCAGACCTGAAGCGGTCGGTCGCCTTGGAAAATCGGCCGGCGATGCTATTGTCGCGTTCAGAGAAGCTGCGTCCTCTGCTGTGGCCGCCCTTGGACACAGGCGGGGCAGGTGGTGGAAGAACCGGGACTGTTGTGTCCATGGGAGCAGCAATAGTCGTTTGTATAATGTCATCATCGTCCATGACAATCTCAATCATGCCGGAACCCATGGTAACGGGGTTGATGTGGGCCGTGTACGGGAGAGGCGCCGGGGGTGGGGGAGGAGGCATCGCAAGGTGCTGCAGCTCCTTCAACATTGGTGGAGCAGGAGGAGGAGGAGGCGGCGGCGGGATGCTTCCGTAGTTGTTGCTTTCCTGGGAGGCACGTCTGGCTCGGATCATGTCGTCGACAGTGCGGATCTCCCCCGAGTGGCCTCTTCTCATGGAAGGGCCGCGAGAAAGCCCCTTGCTGCTGGCGCTAGGACCTCTAGGGGAGGGTGCATCCGGGGGGATGGGCGGAGCTGACATGCTGCGAGGAATCATTCCGCGGTTGGGAGGTTGGTAGACCGTGGAGGGAAGCTGATAAGTTGTCTGAGGAAGCAGAGTAAGGGTCTCGGCAGCCTGCTCTTTCTCAGGAGACTGCTGCTGAGGAGATGTCACTGGGGAGTGTCTCTGAGCAAATGTAGCCGGGATCGGGGGCACTGGAATGCTGTTCTTGTCTTTGTCAGACTCGATGATTAGACGCATGGCCTTGGGTGTTGCGGGAAGCCCAATGTGTACATTCGAGGTGCTGCGGGCATACATGCTCCTGACGGTTGGGTCGGCAGTGTGGCTGCGAGGTGGGAGCTCAACGGCGCTGGGTGATGATTCAATACCGATTCGGATATGGTTGGGGTGAGGAATCGGGGGCGCCGAGGGACGTTGTGCGAGAGACTTGCGACGTTCTTCGAGTTCGCGCGCAGCTTCCTCCTTCTTACGCTGCCTCTCGTCCTTCATAGCCTTCAAGTCTCCCGCGTGCTCTGTAGAGGCAGCACGCGACTTGGGTTGGGGAGGCGCAACATCGCGAGACTGGTCAAGGTTCTCACCAGCGTGACGACGGCGACTCTCGGATCGGTCTCGTCGGGGGAATTCTCTGGTGAGCTCAGGTGAAAGCGCTTTGCGGGAACCATGCTGGCTGGTGCTTCTGTTATGTCTGTTCCTGAAGTTCTCTTGGGCAACGACAGCCTTGACGTAGTCTTCCTCGTCTTCAGACCCCTGGTAGTGGACAAGGTTGGCTGACAGCGGTAGCGGAGATGAAGGTGACCTGGCGTGGGAGCCAGTTCGGTCCGCACTTCGACCGCGGAGCTCAAGCGCAGGAGGGCGATGTCTGCCTTCGGGGCTTCTGTTGCGGCCTTGACTACCCCGGCTGGAAGCGCGACTGGCACCGTTCCTGCTCTTGCTAGACTTTCTCACCGTGACGGGATCCCCAACATCTGGCAAAAACTTGGGCGTACTCAAGTTGATGAGATCCTCGGGTGACATGGGGATGGGAGAGGTTGGGGAGCGCTTTGCCTTGGGCCAGTTGCGACTAGAGGCACGACCACGCTCAGCGGAAGCCTCGCGAGAAGACGTCTTGCGAGTGCGGCTGTGGTCACGGTCACGGCCACGGGAGCCCTCCCGCTTGCCCTCTCGACTGGCATGTCGGCTTCGCTGCTTGCGTTGTTGCAGGCGCTGGGCAGTATCAAGGCTGTGGATGTAGTCTTGTCGTCCACCCGTAGTGTTGCTGCGGATGCTTTTGCCGGTAGTGGATTGAGACGTGACGGAGCCCGTGACAGAGCCGGGTCCCCTACGCCGGGAAGGCCAGTGGAAGCGGGTGGAAGATGCCACAGATTGCTCGGGAGAGGTAATCTCGTTGGCCATGTTGTTCAGACCCGCAAGTTCAAGATGGAGGCCCTTCGGCTTGCGGTCTCGGGAACCATTGCGCTGAGCCATGCTGCCTTCCATCTTGATGATCATTCTAGCATCAGGAGATGGTGGAGGCATCTCTCTCGTCCGTGAGGTGATCTTCTTGTACTGGTCACGCATCATCATCGGGCTCGCCGTGGCAGCTCGCTGCAAAGACAAACCAGCAGCGAGGTTGTCTTGTTCGGCGGAGGACATGCGCATTTGCATGGCACGTCGAGATTCCTCAACGTCGACCTGAAGCTGTTCGCGTGACAAGTCTCCCGGAATCTCACCGATGGAAGGAAGACGCTTGCGACTGAAGGCAGATGCTCCAGATCTCGCCGAGTTCGGGGTGTTGAACTGACTTCGGTTTGGTGGGCGGATGAAGGCAGTGGTAACATCGTAACCGCCGGGGGAGACTGCAGAATCGGCGATGGGTGTTGGGCCGGCAGCGATAGGAGTCTGCCCGCCGTCTCCTTGAGAAAAGAACTTTGACTTCCCTTGCTGCTCACCGAATGACGTGATGAGCTTCAGGGCGGACGTCTTGGCGATGCTTCGTTGAGGTCCACGATTGATGCCAGGAGGCGAAAGGGGAGGTGACAAGATTTCCGGGATGCTCTCGTTGATGTTCTGGTTGATGCTCTGGAAGGTCACCTGGGCAGCAGAAGGAGATGTCCATGGTTCATCAGATTCGGCACCAGTGCAGGCGAAGCTGGGGAAATCTGTTAGCGCAAGGTCCTATCATTTTCACCCAGTAGAGGAAACATACCATCTCACGGCAAGCTGCTGTTGCCCGTGCATGACAGCCCATTCGCCCCATTTCTTGATGATAGCTGCCTGTCGTTCCCAGACGGCGGGATAAAAGAGACAAGTCAGGATAAGCGCCTCCATGTACTTCTTGTGGGATACATAGATCTCAATGGCATCATTGTGGTCACCCATGCCAATTAGAATGGTGACAGCGGCATGGAGATCGCCATGCTCCAGTAGTCTTTGAACGTAGGCGCGCCCCAGCTTGTGCTGCGAGGCTTGGCCCCCAATACCGCTGAGGGCCAACAACATCCAGTCAGAGGAAGTCATTGAGGCCGAGCTCGCTGCCATGACATCTGCGTCAATGTCGCCCAACCATCTCATCAGTAGAATGCGCGCTGGTGAAGCAGCATTGTGTCGACTCAATTCCTCCCTGACCAAGTCGTCAATCTCATTGTTCCATCCAAAAATGGTGCTCAGCATCTGCTTGCGGAGATCGTCATTCGTGAGTCGGCTGTGGTCACCCCCAATCGGGTGTTTGTAAGGAATGTCGCTAAGCCGGCTCCTGGTGTACTTGAACAGATCCTGAACCTTGCTGTCGACAGGGCTCGGTAAGACCTCATTGCGTAGGCGGGATGGCCTAGAGCGACGAGACCGGTATGAGGACATGGAGGTGCCGCTCATCATTGAGGTTCCGCTCATGGAATACATGTCTCGCTCTTGATAAGGTGCAGCAGAAGATCTAAGAGACGAACCAGCAGAGATGTAGGTGTTTTCAGTCATGCCCCGAGAGACTGCCGACGACGGGTACCTGCCGGGCGTCCGAGATCCTCCGGAGGATCGCGAGATGGAAGACAGTCCACTGCGGCTAGAAGCCGCGCTTGCGGTATCGGCATCGTAGGGGTCGAGCGCCTTGGGCGTGCCCGTGTCCTTCCGGCTAACTATACGGTCAAAGGGAGACAGATGATCTTCGTCGCTCTCCGAAATGCCAAGCTCAATTGAACCAGACGTGGCATCCGAGTCAGTAACGATGGTTGTTGATGTCTTTTGTCCTTGCTGTTCCTCTATCGAGACAGGCGGTGACGGCGGCAACAAGTTTGCCGGGTGCTGTACATTGGCAACTATAATGGATGGGGTGTTGAGGTCGAATTGCTGTACGGTGTTGTTGGCTCCCAGAGTGAAGAGGCTGGCGCCAGGGCCGTACACGGCCAGGCCTCTGACATGCTCGAGCGTCGGGATACTATCCCAAGTAACGTGCTTAGTACGGACATCCCACGATAGTGTTTCCCTAGTGTGGTAAAAGTCAGTGCAAGCTCTAAGCGCGCGCGTAAGCCTCAAGTGGCAAAGAATGACGTACGAGTCAGAATGTTGGATAATGCGGCCGTTCTTCGACCAACCCATCCAGTTGGGGCCGGTCTGGTAGTTATCAGTGCGCTTAAGGATTCTCACAACCTTGGCGGGGTCATCGCTGCTGTACGACTTGGACACACTCCAAACTCGGAGGTCACCATCATGGGTCTGTGATGCCAGCATGTCCGACTTTTGCCGAGACGACGAGGCATGCCAGTTGAGCGTGACAATGGGCGAAGGTGCTCTCGATGTGCCTAGGTTATGGAGGATGGTGAAACGCGGCTGAAGAGTTGCGACTAACAGCGAGCCATTTTGATATCTAAGAAGAGTTAGCCACTTTGCAATGCCGTTTGGGATTCTTCGAGCTTACCCAATCGCGAATGTCCTACAGTCTGCGGCTGGTGCAAGTGCCGTTACAGCAATCTGGTCAATCGTCCTCGAAGAGATATGCTCTGATGTTGTGGGCTCGAACAGAATGATGTTACCCTGCGTATTACCTAGAGCAGGTTGTTAGCGAATACCTTGTGAGTTTGCTAAGAGATTATCATACCAAATGCGACATTGCCGTTGCGCATCCAGGCGGCAGTTGTCAAGTGCTCGTATGAAGCAAATCGGGCTACTTCGTCGCCCGTCATAATATCCCAGACAATGGCTGTCTGTCCGGCGTCGTAACTGACCACCAGCCTTCCGGCTCCAATCTCGCTCTGCGTATCAACCGCGAGCAACTGCACTTCGTCCGAGTGCCTCGAAAATCTTCTCTCTATTGTGAGAGTATCGTGGTGGCAGCATACGATGGAAGAGCCCTGGGCATACAAGAACATGGACGCCGTGGCGGCGCATGGCTCGAAGTACCGCATGATGTTGGGCTGCGACATGTTGAAATCCTGCATCTCATTGCTCCGACCTCTTTGTGACGACTGTCCGGAGCTGACGGTAGCGGTTCGGTCTCTCGCGGAGGCGGACATGATGGCACTATATCCTTTTTCGGATTTCGATCTGGGACCCGGTGCGATGTTAGTCGGCAAGCTGCATTTGGGGAGGACAACTTCAAGGCAGGGCAACGGCTGCAGGTCCGTGTTCGCCAGGCCGGAAATCTTTGAGCCCTCTTAAGCCGAGAGACAGGTGGGTGACTCTTGTGAGACAGGTCTACTCACCAATCCGCGACGATCACAGCACCGTCCGGCTGCTTCGTGGCGAACCAAAGGCAGTCGGGAAGCTACACCTCTTCCAATCCAACCATCACATGAAGCACTGTTCAATGTCCGTTCCCGGGCCGGCTGTCCTTCCACGTTTCAAGGTTCTAGAGAATGGCGAAAAGCTCTTCGTAGGCGTCCTAGAGTAGCGGTATCGTCTGCCTGCTGTCGTGTTACGGTTGCTGGTTGTGCTGTTGCACTCTAATGTCTCTCTTTTACGGCGCGGGGCTGGTGCTCTCTCTTTTTTTTTCTTCGTTGCCAGTGAGTTACCGGATAAAGGTAGGATAGGAGAAGAAAGAGAAGAAAGTCTGGGAGCCGGCGTGTTAAAGACGGTTACAGTCTGTCGGGACGTGTTGAGGAGGGGGGGAAAGACGCTATAGACGCAGGAGGAGGGTGTGAAGCGATGAGGTTGTCTCTGTTGAAGTTGACGTTGTTGGACGTAGAGAGAGACCTCACTGGATAAGCCTTAGTCGAGGGGGTGTGCCGGCGCTTGTCTTGCAGGAAGAATCTGTCAAGTGTGCAACTCGGGGTTTTCACAGACACACACACACACACAAGCAGGAGAGAGGGTTTTCTTGCTTACGGACAGACGACGGAAAGGGAAAAGAAAAGGGAAGGAAATGGAAAAGACGATGGAAAATAAGAGAGGCTACTGCTTGAAGGGGGGTGTGGACGGGGTGTGATGGAGCCAAATAGGAAGAAAGTCAAGCAACATGGAGCATGGCGCCTAAGTGTTTGGAGCTGACTTGTCACTGGACGATCAGTCTTGACCATAAAATTAGAGCTGTTCAGTGAACGGTCGAGGTATCTGGGAGCGGATACGGTCCGGCTCATCTGGACGAGCCAAGACGCTGCATAGACCGGGGTGCTTGTCGTCGAGGGACCCTGTCAAGCCAGTGGAAGGGGACCACTCAAGGTGTACAAGGTGCAAGCCACCGCGTGCCGAGGGGGGCAGAATTGGGGAATATGCAGCAGGACGACGGGGGTCATGGCATGGTGGAGATGGTTGAATGCGATGAGCGGCGTGGTTGGGCGAGTTGACGAATATCGAGGCAAGCAGAGTGTGTCTGAACAGGGCAGTACATCAATATTTTGCCATAATTAGGTCTCCGGTCCTCTTCTCGCGCGGTGCTAGCCAGTCCAGTGCCAGCCAGTCTCTTCTCTTTTTTTGCGAGATCCTGCTTGCTACTGCTGGCACGCTGCCGCTACTTGCTGCTTGCGATGCTTGCTTGACCTGCGTGCGTATGTACGTATGTGCGCGCGCGCGCGGTCGACAGGAATATCAACCTATCAAGTTGAGCTGAGGCGGCACTGGCTGCCCTCAGCCCAGCTTGAATTTTCCGTCTCGTGGTTGTGACGGCCGGGCCACCATCTCATCATTCTAGTCTCCAAGATAATACCCAGACTACGGATAGCGAGACAAAGAAAGGACAATGAAGGAGAAGATGAAGAATCGAACCGAAAAATCGTCTGGTCTTTGACTCGCAGTGACGTCCCATCGGCGGCTGTTCTCCAACAAGCGTGTCTCGGTTTGGATAATCCAGCTCCGCTTTCCCCCTTGATGATTTGACTTTTCATTGCTGTATCGAGTAATGGTTGACAATGAGGCAGTGAAGACAGCAGATGCCTCGTTGGGGGCAGCAAAGGTACCTTACAGGTCTGCTGTGGAATGTCAAATGCGCGCTATGTAGCTACACAGAGAGAGGGACGTAGTGTGTACTCTGTAGGTATCCAAATCTGAAGACGGGGGACCGGTGGCATGACTCCCCTCTTCTCGGCGATGGTCACGGTCGTAAATCCTGGCACAAACAGGCTTGATTTGCCTCGGTGGCCATGGATGACTAGTTGCTAGGACGGACTCTTGAACAGGCTTGAGAGCCTATCGAAGGGTCGGAAGGCAGCGCAGCATAGAAAGACCGACATTGACAGAGCGGCGGGAAGCGAGGAAAAGAGCATGGTTGGGGGAGGAGAGAGAGGCTTGGGAGCAGCTTGGTTTGAAGCATGGAGACGTAGAGTGGCAGTGACTGGGAGAGGGAGAATCAAGACAGAGGACGAGGATGAGGGGAAGGGTGAAGGGGGAAGGGACGACAGGGAGCCGGGGTTGAACAGTCTACGCGCCGAGGAAAGGGTGATGGCGCCTAAGGAACTTGCATGGGGCCAATCCGGAGCCGCATGTGCCTGCTGTTCAGCAGATGCATTGCAAGGATGCCCATGAACGTGCGTCTGACTGGTTCGTCGCTTTTAACCTCCCGTTGGACTGATCCACTCGGACCCACTCAAAAGTAGTCGGTACGGTTGGCGTCTGTGTCTTTTGTTCGGGACGGCGGCAATGTTGGAGGTAGCCGCTACCTCTCGCTGGTTTCCCCGTCTGTGCCATCTTTCCAACCTCACCTCATGGATCTCTATCAATTGTGCCTTCCTCTACGGATACAGAGTACGGAGTCAATACTTTGTTGCTTCTTTCCTTCCTCCTGTCAACTATAGAGTACCTGCCTTAACGCAGGTAGGTATGTATCTAAGGTACGGCATATCTCAGTGGACCGCTCCCTCTTCTGATGCACAAGTCGGAATCCCTCAGCCATCCATTTACACTGTTCCATTGTCCCGGCATTCTGTGTGTGTCCTGTTTGGCCAGTGACACACCATCCGACCTCGTCCCTCCAGTTTCAGAAACATCGCCAGTTCTCATCGGCAACGTCAAACCCATCACTCCCGCTACATCTACAACGTACAAACTCGATCGGCCCCTTAGTTCCAGGGGCTGGACTCGAACGAACGCCACTACTCTGCATCCATCGCGAATTCGCCATCGCCTCTGCCGGTACGGGTCTGGAATCACATCCCGCTGGCCGGCACACAAGCGGCCACCATCCACCATTCATCACCAATCCCCACTTGCGCTTGAAGCTCGGAACTTTGTGTTCCCTCTCGCCCTCTCGCCCTGTCTGCACTCTGCACACTGATGGAGCAATTCGACGGCCTGGCAACGTGCAATGCTTCACTCCGAACCATCCACCTTCCCATCCGCAGCTCTAGCCTTGACGGAGTACTGCCTAGGACTCCCGGTCCGTCCACACAGACCAGCTCTCTCAAGGATTGAGGCTGCACCATTGCTGCATCTGCCCGCCTTTGGTTCTTTGTGCCTGCGAGACGATCACTGCTACCTCGAACACTATGCACAACACAGACCCCCCGTCGACCTGATCCGTGTCAGATAGAGCTTCCCAATTCCACCACCCAACTCAAACCACTTCAATTGGCGTCGCCTATGGAGGAGCTAATCAATGCTGGCCTTTCTGTTCAACGTATCTACCATTGTGGGGAATTGGCCAACAACGAGGTCGGAGGCCCATCGCAATATCCCGTCGCTACGACGAGACGCACTCTATTACATCACCAACGTTCAATGCCATTCGGGACATTCGTTACATGTCTCACTCAGGGCCAGGGCCGAAGGAACGGACGTTGCTGCACATATCGACCTATTCATCGGACCTGTCACTTCAATTCGCTCCTCTGCCACACCCATTGGAGTTACCCATCCCGGTCTGGCCGACCTTCTGGACCCCGGATATCAGTTCCTCGTCAATGCCCCTGGGAAAAACCATCCGATGGCAGCCCAATGACACGGGCAGACGGGACAGCCTTGCTATTGCACCTTCATCGGCCGCTAATCAGGTTCACACTCGTCCACCATGCAACCTCACCGGCCGCTTCCCCGTGCATGACTGAAGTACGGATTAAGGTATGGCTGCATACTGAGAGCATGGTTCAACCCACGGCCGCCTCATTCATTGAGCGTCGCTTAGAGCAATTTTTCAAGCTGATGCACAAGCTTCAGGTACGTAACGTGCCCTCCACTCTCCTCCTCACCATCACGATGCTACCCCGGAACGGGTGGTCAATTTCCCCGCCGCAACCACCATGTTCACCGTGCCTCAACTATCTTGACGGCTAGTTGCTTGTTGGGTAAGCTCGTTTGCCGGGTCGTCAGGCACCTACATCACAGATTTTCGACCATTTTGGCATGTGTGCTGTCTGACACCTCGTTTGCATTCGTGCTACCTCCAAGGTATCGAACGAAAACCCAATTGGTCTCGACAGTCCTTGAGAAGATGCAAACGAGCCACCATGTTGCTTTTGAATTCGGATGCTCGAAGTGCAGCCGGTGGAAGCGTGAAATAGGGCGGCCGGTCCGACTTGTCAAATCAGCTTCTTGTGGCGCCAGCACACCTTGCAAGATATTCACCGTTGAGGGGGCTGAGAGACATCAATATCAAACGGCAACGCTTTCCCATCGAGCAGCCGGGACCCCTGGAATCTGTATATTACGCAGTACGCCACTACGGGAATATTCGCATGTATTGTGGCAACCTTGTCGAGCAGTAGTCGAGCCTGACTTGCAACCCAACTGGACCTCGCTGAGATCATAAACTCGACTCTCGGATTGATCTCAACGATAACTAGGCAATACATGAGCGTTGGTGAGCCCTCCTCCGCCTCGGAAGATACACACTTGGTGGTTGATGGGCAGAGCTCCTCCACCCCTGCCATGTTGTACATCGTCTTGGCTTCAATGCAGGGGTCGTGTGTTTGCTTTGCCGTTGAACTAGCCTCTCTAGCCGTCAAGAACGTAATCTTCCCGGTCGAGTTTCCGCTTTCATACCAGCTGTATTAGCCATCTGACATCCGGGCGAGGATGATGATTCCTTCCGGTAGTCATCAAGCAAATAATCGAGCACGGGCTGAGGATCATTCGCTGCACGAAAATCGTTCTTGCAGACGTTATCTGGCCAACCCTTGAATGGCAGAACCAACTAATAACCAATGATCGACATCCATCACACGAGACCGAGCCTCACGGCACAGTGGCTCCTGGCCCTGTCAATAAGGTCCGGTCACTTAATTGTGCTGAAGCTGGGATTGTGCGGCTGGACTACTTCACACTTTCAATGCAACAGTGATATTCATGCTCAGAGAGTCACGGAAGGCCTAGTCAGCCTGGCGAACGTGCTAACATTTGTGTTTGGTTTTTTCAACCGATGAAGGATGTTTATATCAAATACTGCCATGGCATCCCATCTTGTCAGATGGACTCGACTGACTCGAAACTCTCATCACATCTCATTTCGTGACGGACCACGTTTGACCATCCACAATACAATTATTTCGAGGTTGCTGCTGGGGGGGGGCCTGGATGCTTGGTAACTGTCGCCCCACGCATTGCTGCTCCATCTTACATTCGATCGCTCAGATCAACGTCAGGATCTCACACGCCAGGAAGCAGCCGAGTGGCATCAAGGACGAGCCGAGCTGGCCGGCCTATCTATGCCGTATGACACTTCAAAACTATTGCGATCGACTTCCACTACTCTTCCAATAGTTTCGTGGTAGAATCACAGCGTTTGCATCTCTTGTGCTTGCCCAGCGCAAGATGCGCAAACGCATGGCCGGCTTGAGCGGCCTGAAAGCGAGTAGCCGTCACCCCAGGAGCAGCGGCAACGGCAACGGCAACTACGAGAAGACGTCATTCTCAGATGCTTTCGAATCTCACGACATTAGACACTTAGACACCGCGCTTCTCGGGATCACAGCAGGATCCATAAAGATGGAAGTTTTAGCCATGCCGCGCAAGCCGCTATCTATCGTCAGCTTTACTTACAAGTCGGGGGACCACAAGGTGCTGTGCAACGAATGGGAGGCTGCTGTGCCACTTTGACGTCCTTATTGGCAGTCGGCTGTCCCTCGCATACGGCATGACGAGTACAGAATCGTCGATAAGTGGCTCCCAAAACGCCTTTCTTGACATGCGAATCCTCCATTCATATATCTCTCCACTGTCGGGAGGCCATGCGGGAATAAACCTCCCAAAGCATTAAGCCAACGACACCTTCCCGACCTGTATCTAACGCAGGTCGCCAATTCGAATATTTCGGGAGTTCCGCGTCCCGTGACGATGAGTCGATGCGGCCGAGGATTCGGTCTCTGCTCTCAAATATGATGAGGGTTGCCTGCTTGACTATGACCAAGAGAAGTTGAGAAGCTCACATTCGAATCTCCATTGGAGAATTTGACATGTCTGAGCAGATGAGTAACACACCACCTCGTGGCATCACGGAATCTGCGCCGTGAAAGAGCTCGCTTACCCCTGTCCTGTCATCCCTCTGGGCGGGCGGGGAAACTAGGTGAACTGACTCTTTCATCCGCCCAAGAATGCGAAAAGAGGCAGATTCGCAGCATCGTATCAAGCACGAACAGCACTCTTTGGGCAATTGGCAGGGGAGGGCATAGACATGAAAGAAATCCCGGCTTCTCCCCAGTCAACCATCCGATCACCTCTACTGCAGCACTCACATCTGCAGAGATCATCACCGCCGAGAATATCCTTGTCCCGTCACATCTGTTCGCAACCCACGCCTTACTCACCTCGTCCACCTCGCCGCCACCAGCGACCGACAATGGTCTAAGATCTGATGGCGTGCGCTCCATCTAGACATCTGGAAGTCAATTACCCACAGCACGTCAAAAAAATGAAGAGTTACCCGGCATGATCGGCCGTGCACTGACTGCCAGTCTGGCAGTCTGCGAGAAATCCCATTTTCTCTGATGAGAGAAAAAGAGCTGTTGGACCCCTGGACCCAACCGCCGTGCCGCCCTACAACCCGCATGCGGCCTAGGCGCGTGTGATTCGGACGGCGCTATCTGTGATTCGACATGGTGGCCCCGTTGGTCCACCCCCGTCCGTCTCTCATCGTCCTCCCCTTCCCGCCGTTTACGGCCGGCACGAGCCATGAAGCAAACGTCCGCAGATGACGGGCACGCTAGGCTAGCTAGCACTCGCACGCGCGGGGCGACGCGGAAGGAATGCACGGGTTGGTTGAAGAGGTGTAACGATGGAAAGTTGTGGTGTGTGGCGGGATGCGGACCGGGGGGATGGCCCATGGCCCATGGGGGACGGAGTGCCCGTGGTCTACCTACTAACCTACTATCGATGTGATGGAGACCCGAAAGCATTTGGCTGGCGGCTGTTGGTGGCGTTGGGAGAGCTTTCTTTGACTTACACACTTGTGAGAGTCTGGTTCACTCGATTTTCTTCCTGCTCGTATCTGCTAAGGCATGCTTGTCTCGGCGGAATCATTCTAGGGCTTTCCCTGAAGCGGTTGCGGTTACGTGCCTTTGTTTGTTGAATTTTTACCGGCGGCAAGGTAAGGTGAGGTCAGGTACAAACAAGAAAATCAGGTGGCTGGGGGGAAGAATAGGGCTGGTCGTTCGAGGCGAGAAAAACTCGTGGACGGTGGACCTGTAGATCTACGATGGAGGCAAAAAGGTGAACGAACACATGGAAAGCTGAGAGGACCGCCTCGCTGCTGGGCAAGCAAGCGCTGAGCTACGGGCGTCTGAGCAGCGAACGGCGGCGGTGAGCGTTGTAAGCGAAGCTGATGCATGTTGCGCGGTCATGTGCCCTCGTGCAACATACGACGAGGGGAGGGAAGGGACCTTTTGTTCGCCGGGCGGTTGGGGGGAGGAGGCGAAAGGGTAGAGAGAGGATTCTCCGTGTGCGATGATTTGTGCCACGATGGGGGGAGATCTTTAATTGCTTATTGCTTTTTCTGGTGGTCTATCGTTTTCGTGGGATGCCGTTGTCGAGCACGTGGTTTCTGTGCCTTGGTTGATGCAGGAGTATTTGGTGGGGGGGCTGGGCAGAATACTAAGGTGGTAGGTATCCATCCCAATGTCTTGGGGGAAGCGGTCGTGGATTTTTTTGATCTCGTCTTAGCTGGCTGGGACGTGACTTTTCCGAGAACGGCGGACCTAGTGTACGTTGACGTGGTATCTAATGTCTCACTCTGCGTTTCTGGAAGCATTTCCATGAGAGGGGGGGAACGTCTCCTTTGAGGGTGAGGTGGGATTGAGAGGGACGGTCTGCGATGCGCCTGCGATGTCGGTGAGGTTGTAGTATAGGCACCTTAGGTGCAGCGCGCGTATGCAGAGCCAGCGAAGCAGGATAGTGTGTTCGATATTGCTGTGCTGTGCTGTGCTGTGCTGTGCTGTGCTGTGATGTGCATTCTGTTTCTCGTATTCACAGTCGGTCAATTAGCTTGCTAGGTAGGATAGTTAAGTCGATCGATTGATCGTTCGCCATGTGTTGAGATGCGTTTTCTCTCCCTTGGGTCTACCCACCCAACTAAACTCAACCGGTGTCGATCTTAGTTGACTTTTGATACTGGTGTTGTCATGATTGTTTGCCCTTGGTAGTACCAGACTCTTTCAGATTCCCTTCAATTGAACCAGATCTTCTTATGCAGGTGGCAGGTGCATAACACCAACCGCTCTCATGTCAATGCCGGTACCGTACGCAAGCTTGTGTCCCGGCCCGTTGCGCCGACTGCCGAGTCTCCACAGCGATCTCCGCCCGGGGGTATGCGGGGCCCGGGGCGGGTCTTAGACAGCCCCCGCTCACCACCGTTTCAAACGGCTTTGGGCTTAATTTGACGACAGGCGGGGGAATTGGGGCACGGATTTGTGTAGTAGAAAGATGGGGTTGGACACATTGTTGGAGGGGGGTTGCTTGACTGTCCTTCGGGTATGTCTTCCAGCCCATGCAGAGCTTTTTGGTGGTTCAGAGAGAATCGTATTCTGCGCGTCCGGGGGAGGATCACCTAAGTATGTGAGAACTGGGAGATTTTTCTTGTCGGGGTACAAAGCTCCAGAGGTAACCAAATCACAACTCATATTCCTGATGCCGTATGTCTCGGATTTGATTGCTCAAGGGCAAATCCGGAGTCAGGAAGGGCGTTGGCACGAGGTTCTCCAATGTAAATCTCCATCAAAGTCAAAGGAAATGACCTTGTTCGATCTCATCCGCCGTGAGTCCTGCGGAATCCTTCCTCGGATATTGAGGTTTTTGCAGAAAGAGCGGCGAATCCTCGTTTGGAAATGTATCAACGATAATTTGGCCAAAAATTTGAGATGGAGAGAGACGAATACCAGCCGTTCACGTAGCCTTGGATGAACGTACGATTTGGGGTTAGCATTTCACGTCTTAGCGGCGTCGCCTGTATGCGTCATAATTCCTTGGTTGTTAAGAGTTGAATACTGTGCTGAGTGTTGCCTCCTTTCTTTCGCACCCGTCATTGACACAGCATCTTCAGGGTTCGGATCTTGGCATTTGATCGCCCTGAGAATACTATCCGATGATAGTGATATATGATTTATGACCAATACAGCAAAACACTGCCACAAACCTTAGACGGACACGGCTCTCAGCTATCTTTCGGTATCGGTGTCTGCATTAGAGCTAGTGGATGGATCTAATCAAGCTTTTCAGCCCAGTTACTGCGTTTGACACTAGAGTTGATCGCGGAATTATCGAAAAGAACTTGATGGTACTTCCATTTCCAGGCTGGTTCATCGAAGAGACCGATCTTCCGGGATTTGATTGTGAGACAGACGGACAGCTACTTCTTGTAGTCTTTGTCGCTGACTATATCATTGCCTCAAATCCT